GGCGACGCCAAAAAAAGAGCCGCCCGTCAGCGGGATGATAAGACCGAGATATTTAAATTTACGTGGCATGGAGCATCAACATTGAATAGATCATGAGCCACTAGTAGTGGGGCTCTAACAGAGGTGTGCCAAAGCTGCCAAGGCCAGCACTTCAATGTTTCCATATAATAACATTAACGCCAAGCACTAGTCCCATGGCACCGGCCTGGGCTGTGGAGCCAACGTGGCGGCGGCCCCAGGCGCTTGGGAAGGCACAGCCCCACCACCTGCCCTCGCCGATCCGGGCAAACTCAATCTTGCCAATTGGTCCTGGACTCCTGCATATCAATTGACATCATCAGATTTGAACTTGACATTCCGGCGAGGGTCGGCGGCCGGATGTGTTCTTGCAACACGGCCAGCCCCCGAGTACCAAAAATGAACATGGATTCATCTCGGTGGAAAACAAACCTCGAGCAGATTATTTAAGTCCTTTGGCTGCCCGTTCTCTGGATTGAGTGTCTGCACCGCTACGGCTTTCCTCACCCTCTCTTTAAGCCCACACTCATTCTCTCTTTATATACAGTCTTTCTGCACAAGATGAAGCAGGCAGATCAACAGCCAGGAGGCAATGCCCCGGGCTTCCTGACCCGACTGGCCATTCTAGCCATCGGTATTGCGCCGACTCTGGTGCTGTCTGTGGCAGCCTCGCCTGCAGCTCTTCACCACAGCCGCCAGGCCAATCCCGCCGACACGACGGGAGACTTCCCCAAGCCGGATGACCCCTTTCATTTCATACCTTGCATTTCAAACAAAACCATCGAGGGCATCCCCTTGCTGAACGATACGAATCCCCAAGAGACCTGGAGAAAGATGTTTGACCCTAACCCGGACAACTGGAAATGGGGGCCAGCGCCTGGCAATGCGACAACACCGGGTTCCTCCAATTCCACTCAAGGGAGGGGTCTTCACCTCTGTGGATACCTGGATGTGCCCATGGACTACCTCAACAAGTCGGATTCGCGAATTCATCGCTTGGCCGTTGCCAAGTATCAAGCCTCTGGGCTCAAGGGGAAGGGCGCTCGAACTATCGTCATGAACCCCGGTGGCCCCGGTGGGAGCGGCGTATTCTTTGGCCTTTCTGGGGGCTACTATTCGCGGATACTAAGCAATGGATTACTTGATTTCTTGGGCTTCGACCCTCGCGGCGTGGGCTTGTCACAGCCCACTATTCGCTGCTACCCGGCTGCGCTCCACGACCGTTGGAACTTGGCGGTTGGTAAAAGTCTCAGGGAGTCCCCGTCTCCTCGCCAGCAGTTGGAGCTGGTCAACGCCGTAAATGACGCCAGGTTCAGGGCCTGCTTCGAGAAACTCGGCGACGTCCCGCGATTTGTCTCAACAGCTTCAGTCGCCCGCGACGTTGATGCAATCCGCGTTGCCCTTGGAGAGCCAGAGCTAACGGGATACATGGCTAGCTACGGTACTACGCTTGGCCAAATCTACGCCAACATGTTCCCAGACAAGGCAGGACGCCTTATCCTAGATAGCGTTGACTACTCTAGAGAGCACAGAGTCACGGGGGGGTACGCAGGGACTAAGGTCCATAGCACCACAGATGCTTGGAACGAGGGTTTCCTAGGAGAATGTGTCGCCGCCGGCCCTAGTAACTGCGCACTTGCTAAGCCAACGAATGGCTCCGGCGTGACCTTGGACAGCTTAAAGGAGAGGATGGCAAAGCTCCTGGACGGATTGGCCGAGCGTCCAATACCAGCTTACGACGAGGATAAGGGGCCAGTTATTATTACATACAGCCTTATAATGTGGTGGATTAGAAGGGCACTCTATAACCCGAGATATTGGTTAACACTGGCTGAAGCACTCGCGGATTTGGAATCTGGCAACACTACAATAGCGGCCCTTGTAGCACACGGGCAATTTATCCACCAACCACGAGAACCTGAAAGGCCTCTGGCTCTTGCGAGTGAGCTCCTAACCATGGTGGTATGCGGAGACGCAAGCGCCGACGGCCCTCCTGCTAGTGGCCTCGACTTCTGGGAATCCCTCTGGCGTAACCTGACCGAAAAGAGCTTTCTCTCCGGGGGTAGTCATTTTGTAACCGTGTTTCCGTGCCAAAACTATAATAAGTATTGGCCCCAAGGCGCAGCGTTATATCAGGGAGACTTAAATAACAAGCTTAAACACCCAGTCTTGCTCATCGCGGAAACACACGATCCTGTAACGCCTCTTAGAAACGCTCGCGAGCTTCACAAGGAAATGGGCATGGAAAATGCCAGGCTAGTGGTACACCATGGGTATGGGCATGCTTTTCTGTCTGATCCATCAGACTGCACTATTGCTATTATTCGTGAATACCTGCTGAATGGCACTATTCCAGACAAGAGAGAGACCGACTGCTACGCCAATGGGAAGCCGTACCGCAATTCTACCCGTACAAACCACAAGCGATCCTTGCCCATGGTTGGTGACGGGTTGGAGAGACCTGTACATAATGTTCACATGCCAGACTGGGTAAACATGCAGCAAGGTGGCTTATAGCGTTGGAGTTCAAGTCACACATGTCCCACTAGGCATGGCGTTGGATTCTTTTCTATTTAATGTTGTCAATAGAATTATTTCAGTTGTCCACCGTGCAATCGAAGCATATTGTGAACACACATGTATAGGCGGTCGTTCTATCGCGAGGCCCTCTTCGTAGCACGAGCTAATACGGCGGCGGGCAGTCATATCCAACACTTTTTGTCTCTTGCCCAGGATCCTCTTCGGGTGAGAACTAGGTTGTAGCGATTCATCTAGCTAGTTCAATCGCAAGAAGCTTTCTTGCTAATTGTCAGGCTGCTTGGCATGCTCTCCGACTCGGGACGTGAGATGGTCCCAAAGCTCACGCCGAAACATCGCTTGGTCACTTGCCTGCTCCCGTTGGTTCAACCAGAACCCGGGGTTAATCGTTGCAAGCTGGGCACCACGAGCAGACAGAAGAAGCAAAGTTGATGCCTGAAAGACAAGTATAAAGAGTGGTTTGTTGAGCCAGATACGCCTGTCGATGTTCATAGTAGGTTCCTCAGCTAATAATAAAGGGGACACACCTGACGAGATACACGGCATGATATTTGTGCAACTTGTCGTTTTTCTATTCCGGGCCGTTACAAAAAAGGATCTGGACGTGGTATACGCCCATTCACCGCAAGAATAACGTTAACCTCACCAAAATCCAAAAGCATTATACTCTCCGCCTTTACAGTTCTTCAGGCTGCAAGCTTTTGCGCCCTTGTAATGAAGTTGTTTGTAGTAGTACTTCTTCATAGTTCCGGGCGATTATGTGCGGTGCGGCGGTGACCGCCGTGGCCGGCAGAGGAGTACCTGGAATAGCGTCTGATAAGGTTCGTGGCGCAAGAAGCATCTCGGCTTGAGCCTAGAAGTGAAAACAGGTGTACCTACTGTCACAGAACCGGTCACATAATTGATAAGTGCTGGGTAAAATACCCGGAAAGGAAACTCAAAAATAACGGCATCAAAAAGGGCAAGAACCAAAAAGGGAAGGCCGTATCCGACAGCATCAAGGACCTTGAAGTAAAGCTAGCACGCTACGTGCAAGAAAAACGGACTTGAGGGAGACTCTGAAAAACCCATTGCCCTCGCCGCAATGTTCTACGACATCGACCCGGGTAAATCAGGCGAGGAGAGCCTCTACCATTTAATGACACGAATTTCCCTGCTGGACCGTTTCTGTTGTCCGATCGACCCGCCGCGACTTCTCTGAATTCGAGCACATCATCGCTGAAGATGAGGTTAAGGCTCGAGCCGACCTTCAAAATCATCAAAAACCGCCGCCTTCAACAGCTCCAGCAGCTATTAAAGTGACACGAATAGCTTCAACAGCTATTGGCCTCGATGCTGTTGATCTACCTAGTTCTTATGAGCCTGGCGGCAAGGCCCCTGGAGCTTACATGCGTTTTGCAACCGCAATTGAAGATGATGACGATGATGACGGAACCACGGCCTCAACACCACAAAAATTATCGCCAAAAGGCTTATACCGTCCCTTTACAGAGCCACGATAGGGCAGCCAAGATGCCTCGTTTATTTGGGATGATGATATCACTGCTGAATTTGGAGATAAAATGGATCAAGCCTTCCAAAAATTAACACAGCAAGCGGCCAAGATGCATAATATTATGCGACAGACAGTGCAGGCGATAGATATCTCTGAACAGTTTCAATTGAATTGATTGAATTGACTTGTTGCGACCGTACAGGCAGCTTCTACGTGATCCCCATACAAACATCTATGGGGGCCCGGTATCGGTTGTCGAAGCGACAAAGCCACAGCCAGATCGGAGCAGCTATCAAACTTTCAAAAGCCAGCATTCGAACTATAAAAAAGTAAACTATTATGCAAGTAATGAAGCCTTACATCTAAGTAACTTCCCAACAGCGACTAGCGAGATTAATACAAGCGTAAAATAGTTGATCCGATACGCACAGGGTCAACGAGACGGGAGTGGCTTTATTCCGAGGGTGGTTCTTTGCGCCGCCTTGGCTTCTCCTTTTGGAAATCCATTCGGTGCGCACTTGCCTTCCAAAGTTTGAGAGCTAACATTGAATTGCTATGAATGAGATTGTCGCCCAACTACCGTCCGTGACAAGGATCCGGGCACATGCAAACAGAGCTTGACTCGCAAAGAGGGCGGACTTGAGATTGGGACTTTGTCAAGGGTCCTCTTTTCTAGTCCCTGCCGCCCCATCGACAGAAAAATCTCATGATATCCCCGGCAACTATGATTTGCCGCATGTCCGTAAGCGCAATACGCGAATGGGTTTGACGATTCCGTGTGCCGTCTCATGGGCTACATGGATGGTTACAAATACTTAGGTAGAAGGCCGCCTAATCAACGCAGACTCTTTCTCTCCAATATGCTCGCCTCAGTTATCTGCTAACAAACTGCGCTTGTTCCCGCAATACGCCGACCGTGTCATCTAGAACTTGATCGAGATTTACCATCATGGAGCTCAGTCGCATTATTTACTATATACTTAGAGTCCTACAAGTCGCCTCGGGAACCATCGTTGCTGGCATTACGGGCTTCTTCCTTTACCAGTCGAACGCCAGCACATGGGATCTTGGTCGTTTCATTTACATTGAGGCGGCTGCCAGTTTGTCCTTGCTGATGGCAATTCTCTTCTTACTGCCCTACACCGACGCCTTTATCCAAATACCTTTCGATATCATCGTCAGCTTGTTATGGTGGGTCACATTTGGCTTGCTATTCAATGTGAGTTGGGTCATCCCTTTGCGACCCCCAACACACCAACTGACCAGTTCATGATAGTTCTTGGGATTCCCCTGTGAATGGGTTTTTGAATGGATGGACGTGTCACCATTCGATCAGCAGTGCGGAAAGCTCAAGGCTGACGTCGCCTTTTCATTCACGGCCGCGATAGTTTGGATGGCATCGGCCATTGTCAATATCCTAATCCTACGCCGCGAAGGCCGCCAGGAGGACACGGATGTGACGAACCATTATCGACAGCGAGAGATGCGTCGCAATCCCAGCGTGGTGTAAAAAACAGACTTCATAATATGCATCCACACCGATTGGGCGACGAGTGATGATTTGGCGTTGGGGATAGACTGATACCAGAGCAAGCAGTAATGCGCTCACGCATCATGTATGATATTTGCTTGGCTGATTTTCTCCTTCATGTGATTTTGGGTTTCAGGGCAGGGAAGGGAAGCCTTTACACATTTGTTCTCACGCCGTAAACCCATAATGCTAATAGCCATGCTAAATTTAGTATTGGCCGCGTTATTCCCTATACCCTGGTCACCAGCATGTGATGTTCTCAGCAGGCTGCGAATATCTGATGACTCTTTGACGTTGAATCATTCTGGTCCCATCCAAGATCTTCACATGATAAATCGCGCACTTCTTGTGCGCCTCGTGGGAACAGCCCAGTAAGCCCCACATCTCGCTGGCCGTTGACCGTTCAAATGTTCGAATGTTATCTTCGGGTTATGGCGCCGCCAGGGACATCGACCAGAGTTTTTGGTATTATGGGGAAAGAGAAAAACCCACTGGATGGTGTTTTGCGTTTGAAAGAGATTCTGACATCTGTTCCGTACACCTTGGCTGGTTTAGAAACAGTAGTGGCTGCATTTTGAGAATGATTTTGGCATTTTCCACGCGTGCAGCGTCCAAGCTGCGTGGTGTGCCTGGCAATCAGGTGCCGTTCGTGATCCACAATGTCCATCAGGAGTCGTCTGGTTTGAGTACCTGCCAGGGGTCGTTCCAGAATGTGTTGGGGGTACGGCGGCCCGCTTCACCGATGGACCCTTTGAGAGATTAGCCCGACGGACACGGACAGATCTTCAGATAAAAGGGTCCTGACCTAGGTGAGTTGATCTAATCTCTCCGGCACGGGTTGGACAAATCCTTTCCGGTGGCCGCTCATCAATGCTTTTTGCTGCACTTGTTGTTCGTGTCGGATTGATTCGTAGTCCGTTGCATCCTAGGATGGAATCTTCTGCGCTTGGGACAACGATGCATTATTGAGGGCACACGACGACTCTGAATCGGTCAATGTTCTCCTGGCCGTGCATGTATAATGCCTGCATTTTTAGCCAGCACGAATTTGATGGTATCAAAGGAACCTGGCTATCAAAATCCGGCCTAGTGAAGGACCGAATCTTGATATTTTTCGCCGCCTTGGCCAACTCATCACCACCGCGTGCGATATCGTATGCCCAAGGCTCAGACCATCAACCAATGCCCATCCACGCTTTGAGCCATGTACGGCACACAATCATGCCTTCATACATTACATAATCTAGGTACCTAGGTAGGTATTTACAACTGACGAGTGTTTGCTCTCATGCCAAAATCTGCATGTCTGTGGAGCGTATCCATAGAATGTCCAAACTCAAGTCTTGGTCGTAAAGTCTCGCTTCACCGTCTTTTGGACCGAACAGCAATTGACAACCCTGACGCTTTGGGGCTCAATATTCATGCGCCGTCCTCGAGTGTGTACACTTAGAAACCCGAAGTGCTACCTGCCGTCGCATGCAGAATAAGGGGACGCCAGAAGTGTGAACGCATCCGGTCCTGGAATTCGTAAATTACCTCAATAATAGTGATTTCGACCCGTTTACTAACCCATGGAGTTTGTTCCATTGCCTTACTATCTGAGACGAGGTCTAATCCACCCTCGGTGAGATTTGTTCTCTACCTAGGTACTCAAGGACGTGATCGTCATGTAAAGGTAGTCTTTCGAATGTGGATACAATATTGTATCGGGGCGACTCAATAATTCCACCGAGCATACGCTGCAATTATACGGCTAGTCTAGGCATAACTTCCTGGAAAGTTTCTCCGACCGACATGGTTCAACACGTCCTGCCGATCTATCTGCCATCCGAAGTAGGAAGGGATTCTCGTTACTTCCATCTATTAGTGTCATGTCGATGGTAAAAGTAGTAGGACTAGTAAGAAAATAACGTGAAGGACGGGGTTCATTCGGACATGGAGCCAGATGTGACTTTCCCGCCAGATATTGCGGACATCCTTATCTATTAACCAAGGGACGACTATACAGATTCACGACTAGTCATAGGTCTCATGAGGTCAACTCGCAATGATGAGATATGCGTAAAATATGCTTCAAGTTGTACCGACTAGAAAGTTGAATGAAATACGCCGTCTAACTCGGCAATACTAGATCGTTGTTGCAGATGCAGCACATTCAGCAGACCGGTGTTCTATCGCGGGAGGCGTTTAATGTAATCTTTCAGATAAATTTTGTATGTTGTGCCCTCAAGAAGTGTATTATTATATGTGTTTCTGTATAATACCTGCATGTAACGACGAATTTTGCAAATATCAACACGATTTCTTTGCTATAAGTTGTGCTATACAAGACCAGGCACCAGCAAAAATACTGTATTTTCCTGTTCGGGATGTCGCAATCAATCAACATCCATTGACTTGACTTCTGATATGCTGCTGGCATCGGCAGCTGTTAACGTATTGAGACGCAGGAGTGGTGTTCTCCTGGCGAGTAAATCGCCGCCAGCATTCCGTGTTACAGATATATTTGCTTCAGTTGATAAAGGCACGAGCATCGCGGAGGAATCTTGGTCCCTGAGACTTGTGAAATACAAGCGTACTACTCCCCCAGCACCAATATTGACATTTGCATCGCTTACTGTGAGCTCTGCGGTGAATACACCCGGAAGCGAGCAGCTATCGGACCATGCGACGAAGGCCATCCTGCCACTGGACCTTGAAGCAACAATTACAAGCACCGAGGATCTCTGGATGAGCAGTGGTATGCTATATAGATTGTTGTGTTGAATTGATGTGCAGTCCAATATTAGTTGAGAAGGGCCGTGAAGGAGTGAAGGAGTGAATGAGTGCGCAGAATCAGGCACAAGGTATGCAATTCGTGGCATAGGGGATATGGGCAGGAGAAATTTGAGACTGCGCCCGTCTGAGTTTACGGATATCATGCGGTAAACTTGGAAGGCATATCCAGTGGCCAGCATGAGTTGAGAGATGCTTTGACTGGTCTCTTGATGAGGCCAGGCCATGCAATAAGATCTTAGGCATGATTCCAGCACGGCCTTCGGATACATGCTACTATCTGATCTTACCCCTAAGCTCCGGTCGGTTTCAAACGGCATGTATTATGCGAGAAAATGCCGCATACAAGACATTTTGAACAAGAATTCTTCCATCATGCTAACCTCAGAAGGGTTGTTATGCTGACGCCAGTTCTTGGCGTTGAAGAGAAAGAGGACTAATTCATATTTTCAAACACGCTGGTAAAAGAATAAGAACTCTGGGTGCATACAACCAAATTGTGGATTGGGAGGGAAGAGCTGCACCAGGATCTATTGAGGAATTTGGTCACGACAGTCTGGCTTTAGCATGTAGCTCATGAGACAAGCAAGTAAGGGCGAGGTTTGTGTTGATAAAGAGACAAATGAACCTCACAGGCGTGTCGCCAATTCTCAATATTGGCCAGCAGAAAACACGGCTTTAACAGCTACGTATTTGCTCTCCATACAGTCACCAAGATTTTCCCAGATCGTCTCTGACCTACATCTAACAAAACGGTTGTCCGTCTAATTCCTTTGAACCAATAACGCGCAGCACATGATGTTGGTTGATCAGAGGGAAAGCAAAGAGTCCATGTTGACTGCAAAATAATTCTGCTTCCTTGGCATGAATCTGAGAGTGGCACATGACCTCCAGGCCACTCACGAGGAGGCGATCGCAGACTGATGAGTTCTATGAGTTTCTCAAAAGGGGGAATCACGAAATTTTTGACCTTTGGTACTGTGAGCTGACAAGAGTAAATGGGCGTCTTGATTCGGAATGGGTATGCAAAGCTCATGCTCAATCTCGGGAAGAAGGCGCAAGAATTTATTCTTGGCGAGTATATGTATGACTTCCAATGATGGGATTAATGCCAATTTCTCGAATTGAACTGACACAGCGGTAAGTAGCCTTCACGGACCTCGTTCGTGCTTCATAGTTCATATGAGTTGGGAGCTGGGTGGGATCACGGAGTGTTCTTACGGACCAACACATGGCCTCACTTATTTTCATGCTAATACTCGCTACTTTCACAATGCTCCGGTCTATCAATATAGGCGTCCAACATGATTCTTCCTCGGGAGTAAAACGACAACCATGTTAGCAATGAAGGTTCTGTATACACCTTTGTAAGTGTTCTCGCAGCCGTCCCGACTAGTCGGGGGCGACAAGTCTATGGGACTTGCTCGAAAAGTATTGTAGGGTCAGGTGCAAATTTTTAAATTACCATGAACACGCTCAAGCCCAGAGAGCTGCCAGAGCCACTCTGTGCGGGCGCCTCGGGTGACATGGTTTACGACGTTGTACAACGGAAACACCGTTGACCCTTGAACTTGGCAGTCACTTGTCGCACAGCAAACCTAGGGGGGTATATCACATAAAATACCGTGGCGTGTCCACGCCCATTTAGGGGTTCAGTTCGAGGGTTCACTTCCAGCAGGGTCAGTCAGCAAGGATAGCAGAGACCAAGTCGGCGGGACTGTGTAACGTTATTTCGCATAGAAGCCTCTTGCCTTGGCTTTTTAACGAGTGCGGTTTCTTGGACACTGCTATGATATGTGACGGTATTAGCAAAGCCATTTCTCGACCCCTTGGACTCCTGTCATCTGTTGATCCCCCCTGATGTCTCTTCACCACTTAAAAGCTGAGCACATCAACCTCTTACTCGCACTTGGTACTCCAAGTTCTTGCTCAAACTCCACCCTCATTTCTTCGCGCATCCTTCCTTCACGATGGCACCCACCTCGCCCTCAGCGGAGGAGTGGTTTAACCTCGCCGAGGCTTCCCCGCTGGAGATCGCGGCCTGTGGATTCGTACAACGGTGGGATGCCGCTGTGAGCGAGTTCAACCAACGCGAAGCTCATGACTTGGACTCGTTACTCGGCCCGAAACGGCCGTCCACCGATATCCAGTCGTGGCAGAAGTCTTGGACCAAGTTGGAATTTGAGAGAATTTCCAAATCCAATGTCCATTTACTCAGAGCCTGGAAGTTGTGTTGCAACTTCCTTCACGCGTCACCTATCGCGATCCTATCACCGCGACATGGGATAACCTGCGAACGCTCAGAGTCGCAGGAGACGGCCCGAAGCGGCAACCAGTACGCCCTGTGGTCTGAGGCGTTCTGCCAAGCACTCAGCTGCTTGGTCTGCCATCCCATATGGGGACAGAAAGCGAAGCGGCTTACGGCCGCGATACAGTTTGCGGCAATATGCCGCCTTGATGATCGCCGGCCGTGGACACTGGCGAGCTATTCGGCAGGGGGTCGAGACATGAAAAGGCTGAGGCAAATCGTCTCTTCCCAAAGGAACCAACCATTGCATGAGTTGTGCGAAAATTACAGCTTGGAACAAATGGCCTGTGGCCAGGCGCCGTCATCGCATTACATGCTCTTCTGCCATATAGGCACCTATGCCAGGGAAAACCAGGGTCAAATGATCAATCATTCGCAGCACTTCCCCCCTCGTCTTGCAGTCCACATCTCGGATCTTGAAGCCATCACAAAGGCCATTCATCATCACTATCCCGGCAGCAAACGTCTCGACTTGATGTATAGCGACGTCATTGCTGGGGCCGCAACCAAGATACGGCTGCAAAGTGCCTTCCCGAGCAGTAGCGAGCTCAAGGACACACACATCAGGTCGTTTCTGAATGAATTACGACTGGTTCGCCAGGATGTGTCTTCCAACAAGTCCGTTGGTCGGGCTCCGCCACCGACGACGACGACGTCTGTCACGACTACCGCCACTAGAGGAGCCAGCTCGCGCCGCTCCGCGGGTATCGAGAAGAAACGGAAACGGGCCTGGGGCAGTAGGGACAAGCACGATAAGCGCCGGAGAGAAGGAGGATGCGAAGCCGAGTAGGTCATTGCGGAAGCTTGCGTATATAATGTAATACAAGTTGAAATTTTGTACAGAGGTTTCCTGCCTCCCAGTAATGATGACACCTGTGTCGACTGTGCTCCGAGACTGCATGTGCCTTTGAACCTTGAAATGGCTTGCATGACCGGTTGAAGACGTCAGCCGGTAAATCTTGTCACCGCACCGTGTCGCAAACATTGATGTTCCGCTCCGGCCTCGCATCTCATGTGCCTCCCTTAGTGCCGGCCATCCGAAAGCCACATGAATCTTCAGGCTCGAGTGATGACTTGATTCGAGGACGACGGCCCCCAGGTTGGGGAAATGTTATGCTTAAATCGCTCTCTCCGCAATGATGTACGCCATGGCTGCTGACCCGCACCATCCGCCCCTGTCTTGGCGCTTGATGGCACGGCTACAGACGACAACATGCCAAAACGAACCCCCGCGCCGAAACGGTCAATCTCAATCCAATCTACTCCTTGTACTCGCAAGTAGTGCATGGATCCAAACAGCCGACCATCTACGTGAGCAGCATTCCAACATTCACACGGAAAGCAGGCAGAACTGAAATCTAGATTGGCCACAAACCCTTCACTACCCACCATCTCGATGCCCAGAGCCTTGGCACGGAGGCAATGAAGAAACACGCACTTTCTGTGGATAATGGCGTGCCGCTGCTTTCCCTCAACGGGGTAAATCTGCCAAGAAGCTACCAGGTGTCTATCCCTGGAGACGTTGTCAGCCTTCGCGCCGAGCGGGCCTGATGATTTCAAGAAATGCAGGCAAGGGGCGAAAGGTCCGGGACTGGAAACTACCAGGTTTCGGGTGTTTTGGTTCGACATGAACTTTCTCGGTTCAACTTCTGACATTTTACATATTTTCTTTTCAACTTGCTTGAATCGCTGGCCCGTGGCAATAGCATCGTGTCAGAATTCCGTGGCTTTTGCTAGGCGTGTGAGCCCTCGCCCTCGGATCGCAACCTCATAACAAGTCCAAAAAAAAAAAGATACAACGGTTGGTCTACAATGGACAAACTCAAATCGATAACCAAGTACCTCCTTCCATCGCCACAACAATCATCGGATGGCCGGGACCAGTGGCCCTCTCGGACTGCCTTCCTTCTCGCGGCAATGGGCGGATGCGCTGGCATGGGCAATCTTCTTCGGTACCCGTCGCAAGTCTTCAACAACAACGGCCTGCAGTGGTTCATACCATACCTTATGTGCGTCTTCCTCATTGCCATTCCCGTCCTGATTCTCGAAATCGCCATTGGTCAGGCGTACCGTGGAGGTTGTGTGGTTGCCAACAACTCCATTCATCATCGTTTGAAAGGCGTCGGGTTGAGTTTGCTATATGTTGGATTCGTGGTCAGTCCATACTTCGTGACAAATCTGGCTTGGATCATGATTTACTTTCGGAGCTCCTTTCAGAGCCCATTGCCTTGGGAAGGGCGGGGCGAGGACTTCTTCTACGAGGACGTCGTGGCCAATGTTGAGCCTGTGCCAGGTATCCTTTCTGCAGATGGGAACGAGGTCATCAAGTATACGTCGTACCCAGGGATAGGCATGATAGGGGAGACTGTTGGATGGACCGTGTTCACGTGGTTTCTGGTGTGGGTGTCCATCTTCCGCGGCGTCGGGCTCACTGGGCGGGTAGTCTACTTCACAATGGGGCTCCCGATTGTCATCACCATCGTACTCGTCGGCCGGTCATTGTCGCTTGAAAACGCATCCCAGGGCGTCAAACTCTTCTGGGCCACTTGGAACGGTGATAAGCTCGGGAGCGGCGAAATCTGGCAGACGGCATGCGGCCAAGTCTTCTTCTCAACCGGCGTCGGCTTCGGCTACTTCACCTCCTACGCATCGTACAATCAGAAATACTCCAACGCCGTCATGGACTCTATTCTCATAGTGAGCAGTAATGTCCTTTTTGAGAACATTGCCGCCTTTGCTGTATATGGTGTCGTTGGCTTTCTTGGCCTGTTCCCCCAGGAAGGTGTGCGTCTTGGCAGCTTCACCGTTGGCTTCATCACTCTCCCTTCTGCCGTCACACAGATGCCCGGTGCTAATTTCTGGGCTGTTCTACTCTTCTTCACGTTGATGGTTCTAGGGTACAGTTCCGCGTTTGCCATGGTGGATGCGCTGGTCACGCTGGTCATGGATGCGCAGCCCCGATGGAATCGCTCGGTTGTCGTGACAGTCATTGTCATTGTGTTCTTCTTGCTTTCTTTGCCGTATTGCACAGAGTTTGGGTATTATCTCCTCACTGGCATAGATCGATGGACAAATGATGTCGCGCTGGTATTTGTTGTATGGGCAGAATGCGTCACTTCGACTACTGTATATCGGTGGAGAGACGTCGTTGGCCAAGTTGGACTTCCCGCCTTCATTGGGTTTAACAGTGGCTTCTTTGGAGGTATGATCCTCGGCGTCGTAATAGCTCAAGCGGTGTCGCCGGCCTCTGGAGCAGGTGTGGGCTTTGGGTTCTTCACTCTTTGCACCATAGCCTCCGTCATTATTAGCAAAAGTCCAGAGGAGCGCACGCCCAAGTTCTGGCGAAAGAATATTTTCACTAAACGGCTATGGTACTTGGGTTTCTACTCCGTAAGCACAATATCCGAGGCTTCATCTGCAATGCCGGTTTATTAACACTTTCCCAGGGCAATCAACTTCGCCGAGACCTGAACGAGATTATTGGTTGCGGCAACAACTGGGGTATCCCATTCTTTTGGGCACCTCTCATCCGCTACGTGTCTGCACCAATTCTTGCAATCGTATATAGCTTTTCCTACCCGTCCTTTTATCAGCTTCGTGAAGACCCGCTTCATATCTTGGGGTTTGGTGTTGGCCATGTTGCCTTGCTCATTGTCGGATGCGGTTTTGTTCTTCCCAGGTGGCTGGATGTTCTGGTACCCCCGACTCGCCGGGGGGAAGGAAAGTTGGATATTGGAGCGAATGCTTCGCCTCTAAATTTACAGTTGGATCGAACAGATAGCTCTGAGGCGGCTGAGACGAGTAGCAATAGAAAGCGGGGGACCGACCATGTAAGAACAGCGCCGAACGAGTGAGACGGTCACCCATGTTGTGGACGTCGAATGGCGGTACAAACCAACTAGGTTCCAACTACTCCTTTGTCAAACTTAGCTTCAAGGGCATGCTGTGATGTTCGGGTGGGACAGAGCTACAATCATGTATCATTTCTACTTCGTAATTATAGAGGTTTTTCATCTTGCCCCTTTTGTTCCGAATGACGGCAGCGCACTCATTTACACCATTCGGGACTGAAGCTCCTTGCTCTCCTCTCTCAAGCCCTTCAGCTGCTTCTCGAATTCCTTGTTTGCCCATTCCCAGTATGAGGTCCATATACCAGCTGCCCCAGCATTGCTAGTAACAGCACCGGCATTGCCAGTCATGGCCTTCATCTTGTCTCCAAGTAATAATGTGACCCTCAGCACACTCTTGTTAGCCTCTTCTTGCTTCTCAACATCTTGTTTAACAGCATTATCTTTGAGTTTGATAGATAATACTCCTCGATATGCTTCAGCAATAGAGTCAAGTCTCCGGGCTGTCTCGTCCGGATCAATGACAATGAGTTTCGAGACCATGAGATTGCAGAGCTGTCGGATGTCATTGTCGTCCTTTAAACCGGCCACAACGCGATCATAAAAGTCAATATTGTTGATCCGCGTAAACGCGGTCTCCATGAGGGCGTACAAAGTCTCGTAGGCGCTCTAATTTATCAAACTATTAGCAAACTGCGCAACCAGACATAACCAATTATCGACTGTACCTTTCGGACTTCCAGACCGTCATCCACAGTATGTTTGAATGGGCCCAACATGACCTCCTTGACGAGTTCAGGTTTAATTATTGATTCGCCCAGCACAAACGGCATGAGCTCACCAAGATGTGGCAGAATAAGGTCAGGCTTGTTGTGTGCCGCAGAGTTGAGGGTTGACATGGCTAGTCTCCGAATTTCTGTGTCCGTATCTTGCAACATTACCAGAAGCATGTCGATCAGATAGTTCTTCAGCTCATTATCAAATGCTTCATCGCTCTCAGGGAGAGCGTAGCGGACGGCTTGCACGGCCATGCCTCGAATGCCTGATGATGTGTCCTTGAGTAACGCCTGATACGAATTAGCAACAAAGAAAATCTCAGTTTCAATGAGCAGAAATACCTGAAGCTTGGTCATAAAAGAGCTGGGGTCAAGGATCACCAGCCGCCCTACACATTCAGCACAGACAACTCTGTTGTCGGCAGTTTCTGAGGCCTTGCGTAATTGATCCCAGATAGGGACGGCGTATTCTCGTATGTCGACAGATTGGACGGCAATGGATAGAAGGATCTCCTTGATAGACTGGATAAGAAGATACTGAGTGTTCCCTCCCGCTTGCATATTTTCCAAAATAACAGGCAGGAACTCTGAGGCGTTGCCTGATCCAGCGCGACCAAGTGCAATGGCGGCTGCAAGAGATACTTTATCGGGTTCTGAATGAAATTGGCGCAAGAACAAGTCTGGTCTCATTGGTGATGATGATCCGAGTCGCATGCCAGTTTCTCCAAGGACTGCGAGGGCAAGACTAACCCGAGCCTCATCACCAGTCTTGGAGCTGTTTTCCAGCTCAGAGATGAAACTATCAACAGAAACCCCTGCTGAAGTGTCACCTGTGACAAGCAATGTGCCGATAACTTTGCCAACCACGGAAGGGTCACCGGAGATACTAACATCCTTAAGTAGCCCTTGCATGAGCGTCTGGCTGGCACCACTTTCACCAATCCTGGCCACAAACTCCAGGAGCTGATCTAAAGCGATCCCAGCAAAGTGGGACTTCAAGAGCTGGCAAAGAGCGGCAACCATATCCTTAGACACTGTGACATCGGCATGTGACGGTGTTAAACTGGCAAGTATAACCAGAGCCGGTCCAAGCAGATGCGTGTCGCTATTTGTAACGGCTGGCATTAATGCAGAAACAACGCCATCAACTGTCTGCTTCTCAAGTTGACCCTGAGAGGCTTTTGACAGGATTAGATGTTTCAAAGCATTAACACTTGAGCCCCGCAGAGATCGATTCGCTTTGCGAAGTTGGGCTGACAGTTCAAGTGCAACATCCTGGATCCAACCTCTCTCGAGTTCACCTGGGCTTGATGCGAATGCCGCCACATTATCCACAGCACGCACCGCAGCAAGTCGAGTAGTTTCGTTCTTCAACCTTTCACGTAAGATGTTCAGAGCCTTCATCCGCTTATCTGCAGACAAAAGATTGGAGCCATCGCCGAAAGTCCTCGAGATTAAAGCGCCTAGTGCATGAATGGCTCGTTGGCGAACTTCAGCATCAGCATCGTTTGCTGAGCCCTTGTCCATGAGGACTTCATAGAGTGATTCTAGTTCGGCCTTGAACTTAGAGCCCGAGTTTCGGGAACGTGGAGGAGTAATGGTCTTCACAAGCTCTTCAGCAGTTCTAATGGCTTCACTAGAAATCTTGTAAAACCGATCATGTACTGCATTAATAACTCCAGCAACGATACTCGTAAGATAGGGCTGGAGGACTGACGACGAGTGCGTCTTTGAGATGTCGCTAATCAGTCGTAATGTTGCGATACGAAGTGTGCTAAGCGTTGCAGATGCAGAACCCCCGGCAGAAGCCAATGATGAAACTGTGGCTCCGTGTCCAGTGGACTTTGCAGCATCAAGAACCGAGCCGACAAGATCTGGGAAGAATGAAGCCAAGCCCCCTCGCTGCACCAATACAATGTCATCCAAAAGGTTGATAATAGACTGCTTTGTAGGCACAGTTTTGCCTTTTAGTTGCTTGATGGATGCCTTGACTATGCCAGGTGTAAGTTGTGCCAAGTCCGCGCGAGGGCCAGTAGTAGGCACCCTCTCCAGAACCGGTGACGTGAGACCGGAGCCCGCCATGAACTGCGAAACTGTCGTTGCAGTTCCAGCGCTGCTCTGTCTCCGACGCTTGCGGTTAAGTGGCGCGGGTGCTGCGATAGGAGGATCTAAATCGTCCAAGGAAAAATTAGCCACATGTAAGCCCTCGCCGGTCTTACGAATAAGAAGTGCTAAGGCCGAAATAACTTCCAGCCTGACATTTTCTTCGCGTTCATCGATGCGCTTAATGAGAGAAGGGGCCGCCTGGCTATACAAGACGCCATTATCCAGGAGGTCTCCGCTGCCACGGGTTGATATGAGGGTATATAGGGCCTTGGCAGCACATCGTCGGACCTTCCAACTGGCGTCATCGTCGTCATCTTCAAATCCATCATCGGCATCAAATCCATCATCTTCATCCTCTTGGTCTTCATCCTCATCCATATCAACATCGTCGTCTTCCTCGTCAACCGCATAGTTGGGGTCATACTTGAGGTATCGGAGTGTGGCCGCAATGATATCGTCGGTGAACGGACGCATTTCTTGGGGACACGAAGCAAGAAACGCCTCAACTGATACCAGGGCTGCCTCCCGAACTTCATTAAATTCGATACCAATATCTTCTCCGTCACTGAGCCTTTCCAGGTGATCTTGAAGCTCTTCTTCAGAGAGTGCTTTGAGCATAAGTGGTACAGTACTGGCAATGTGCGGCCCAAAGCGAATGGGAATAGAACGAGCCATACTTCCTATAATGGAAATGTAGAGACGTCGCGAAACATCACCGGTGCCAGGGTCAGAAAGCCTGAAAGCCAGCCTTTGAATAACGTCTCGTAGGTGCTCATCCGCTAGGTAGACAGCAAGCATAGAGATGGCAACGACTGCCCGCTTCTTAACGACAGAAGAATGTCTATTGCTCTCAAGAAGCTGCATAACAACGTGTTGCATTGCTTCAACCTCGACAGACTGGAGAAGGGGCCCGAAGCACCGCACTACTTCTATCAAGACGTCAACGGTTTCTGGACTGGCGTCGTCTCCCTGCAGCATACCCGCAGGTACCGAGGGTAATGATATATCGGTCGTCTGTCGCCTTGGAGTGGCCGCATTCGGCCCTATAAGACGAGGAATAAGAACTCGCCGAATAGCGTCATACGATTGTTGAACATCAGGAGTTGTGGAAATTCCTGGAACTGGGCGAGGGAGAGCTATTATGACAGATCGAAGGGCGAGTGAGGTGACGGCATTGTCGACCGAGTTCTTCAGTACCATTGAAGATAGTTTGTCAATCATGGGCGCGATAATAGCCATAGGGACTTTGCCAACAAGGGGGGCAACACTACAGAGGATTTGTTAGGAAAACTCAGGAGGTTTTATCACCTGGGGGCATTGTTGCAGACCATTTAATAGCCATATTCTGCACCTCGCCGTTCTGGTCATCGAGCGTCTTGATGATACTATCAACCGCTCGAGCTGCAGTATTGTAGTCATGCTGGAGAAAATCGGGTTTGGCTATATTCAACAAGTGCAAAAGGTCGTTCAGTGACATGAATCGGAAGTCGGGATCAGCATCGCCCAGTTTAGAAACGAGGCTTGTCACCGACTGCGGTGTCGGGTTGATGTTGGCGGTTGCCGCCATGCTCACAGCTTGAGCTTCTTCCAGCGGGGATGGCGACAGTTAGGTTTGGCTCCAACAAGCTTTCGGGAGGAGAACTCTTGTAGACTCTGTAAAGACTCGAGTTTTTTTTTCAAGTTGGGCTCGCGAGGCCAAACTTGGGTTGCCTCAAATTTACAGAAGCAGTTGCTTTTGCCTTGTGGTAACATGCACAAACAAAAGTGAGCAAGTAGTGGTGGGAGCAACGGATGACGACCTAAGGTGGGGTCAATCCAGTCAATTTCTGGATCCGAGCTTGGAGCTCGTAGGCAAGCGCGGGGGCTCTCAAACTAAAACCCAGCCCCCCTCCGCCGCCACCCTGACATGCCTTCAAATGTTTTATTATGCTAGGTTGCCCTATGCTCGAGTGAATGCCATTTGTTCTATCTGGACAATGTAACGTTTCTACCATTTATTGCATTGTGAATGCTGTGAAGTAAACTTAAGCAAAGGCGAGGGATGTGTTTTTGTCTCCAGTCTTACTTAGCATTTAAGCAGTTACACAAGTGTATATGACTGACAAAAAATTGAATTGACAGCCTTGGTGAGTATTACGTTTGACTCCTATGCTTTTGTCTCTTCCAGTTCCGACGCCCTATACTTCCAATATCCCTCGCGTACTGGATCCCATTTCTCCCAAAGCCTTTGCAGACACAGAATAGCCTTGCTAATATCGCCAGCCTGGTGATAGACGTCGACCAATAAATCCAAAGCGTGAGAACTTTTTACGTCCTCGCTATCTGCACCCAAGTTGGATATAAAACTCTCTGAGAAATCACGAACATTAGATAAGTCTCGTCCACCCTTGGCGAGCACCCCCCGGAGATAATTCCAGCTGGATTGGTTCTGAGGCGCTAAAGCAATCTTTTCTTTTGCGTAGTCCACCTCCCTGTCAATGAGGGATCTGGGGATTTTTGGATCATGCATAGTTGCAGGTAAATCTGGCGTGGCAACACTGGGGTCCGAGAAGACTAGAAAGAAACGGTGCGCCCAAGCAGAATTGTTTCTTACATCATCTTCAATCAAATTTTGCGTCGCGGCGAGTTCGGTGATGTTCCACATGCCAAGTTTCGTGACCAAGTATTGCCGAAAAGACCAAACGTGATAGTTTTTCGAGTCCTCTTTAAGCATATTGTTAATGAACTGTGTCTCGGTTCTTCCTAAAGCCCTAATCGTTTCTTCATCTCCATCAATACTGGGGAAGTAATAGTCTAGCAGAAGCTGGCGATGGTGCCATATTTGGTAATTCTTTAGATTCGCCAGGGCTACCTGGTTCAGCCACTCGATCTCTTCAGGAACGGGCAAGTTAAGTGTCTGAATAATCTTGAAGCGATATAGCCACACGGTGTAGTGTGCAGGATTCATAGAAATGACATGTTCTGTCAGGCGGAGACATCTTGGAGAGCACTCATCTGCAGCCATGACAGCGCGAAGATACGAAGTGGCTAGGCATATTAGCAGCAATTCAACACGTCACACTCAAGGACACTTACCTTCGGCATAGTCGTCGGGGTAGGCAATCTTAGATAGAGCATCGTCGGGTTCACTGTGAGGAATAGGGATCACGTCGTCCCAATCTAGGTTGTTGGAGAGAGAACCCGTAATTTCGCCATAAAGATCTTTGTTCAAGGTAGCCATGTCTTTCCGTCTACTCTTTTCTTGCGCTGATTCTTCGTCCAAGAAGTCTCTGCCACTAGCGATTGCTTTGCGTCGGTTGATAAGAAACTGACGATGATGAATATCTAGAGCAGCCAGTTGAGCTTGCTTGATCAAAAGCTGGTCAAACTTGTCGAGCTGATATGCGCCAATATCGTGACCTGTTTTGTCCTTGCCCCAGCAGTAGCCCTGTCGAAGGCGGCGAATGGGCAGACCTTCCTTCGTGACTTGTTTCCAGTACTCTCTTTCCGTCTTATTAGACAATGGGATTTTGTGATCGGCGATCGGTTGAATGAGCTTTGTGTAACTGTATACTTTCTTCTCCGCGGGCGTTAAACCGGTGAAGCCAGCTTCTTCGATTCGCTTTTCAACGGGGTTCGTCTGGTAGTAGCGTTGAGACGTTCGGTCGTTCAGTGTTTCTGGACCTGGTCCAGGAGCTACGTGAAGTTTGTATCAGTCCTGGAGCTGCAACACTATTCTGTAACCAGCAATTAACTCACTGTCCTTGGGCTCCGGATTGCTCGGCTTTGTGACTGCTTTCGCCTTGGGCGGCATGGCTGCAGTGTGGATGGTGGGGTTAAGGGTCGAGAATGGCAGAGATGGTGTGGAAAGAGCTATTGTCCCTGCACGGTCCACCGAGGTTTTGGTAGGCCTTTGGCATTTATTTTGACACTACTCTATTCAATCATAACATTCGGATAAGGACTTAAGATATAGCACAGCCTGGGATGCAGAGGCGACTAATACCATTCAAAAACGTGAATTACAGATGTTTTTTATAGTCGCTCAAAACTGTTGAGTAGAAAGCCCAAACTAACCAAACGCCAAACCTACGGCTAAAAAGCGGTTTCCCTCTGATTTCAACATAACAATAGTACCAGCGCCAAGGCAACACGCAATTCATATTCGTCTCTTCCCTTATCATTCGATCGCAAACACTTCCATCGTGACTGGCTCATAATGCGCGAAAATTTTGCGACATGATTAGCCATCGCTTGACGCCTCGGGGAGGGTTCCTGGCCATAGAATCCCAGTTTGGTACCAGCACAAAGGTCTCGTTGAACATTTTCCGTGGTGCTTCCCGTCCTTTGCCGAATTGCACTCTTCCCATTGTCGTGACCACAATGGTCATCCGGCTTCCATTCTTCTCTACTTTATTGTTGTCATGAATGTTGTCGGGTGCGCCATACTTTGATGAGGGATTGATAACGTGCGCATCTAGAGATTCTATCTCGTAGCGCACGCCTTGCCCTTGCGCCTCCAGTAGTGTGGTGTAATCGGCAGGTGTGGCAACAACAGAGCCGTTGATGGAGATGTCGGCAGCGATAGAGTAGCGTGGTGAAGAGTTGATATAGAAGGGAAGAAGCGTTGATCGGTTGTTTATGGCCTGGTAGTAGTGACTGGCGAAGTTTTCTGCAGCTACAAGTGAAAGTCTGTGAGGATCGTGTCGAACTACCTTCGTCTGGATTGACCTACCTTCGCTGGAGGCTTTAACCTCAGTATCTGAGCCTGGGAGGGGCATAATGCTTCTGGGTCAGCAAAGCTCTTGTAGAAAGGAGAGTGATATGGAATCCAAGGACAGAAAGCAGTGGTTGGAATGACGCGAATCGCCGCCAAGCGATGATCTCGTGCACAGTTATCAGTCAAATACACTCGCACAGTGTGTATCGTGTGGTCCTGCTACTTTTAGTTGACGCCTTAATTGCTGAGGTATCGAACTCGAGCCGATTGCATTCCCTTGATAGACATTGGCCAGACGCTCATTAAAATGCGACAATCCTCACCGCGCGCACTCGGACGCTTACTAAAAGGCCAGTCGAAGTTTTCGACATCATTAGACTGGGGTTGCAGCAGCTGTCGACCTCGGCGTATCTTCCAAGCGCGATGGAACACGTCCGACAGATCTCCGACTGCTGCGACAGACAAGTCCTATTATATTACAACGCCAATTTTTTATGTCAACGCCGGTATGAATGACTGTTTCCATTGCTTGTGTTGGTAGTCTAACTTTTGAGACTCCAGCACCCCATATTGGGCATCTTTACACTATGGTTCTCGCGGACGTGCTGAAGCGATGGCAACAAATCAAGGGCAAGGGAACCTTTTTCCTTACAGGAACTGACGAGCACGGCATGAAGATCCAACGAGCGGCCGCCAAAGAGGGAATAGCACCCAAAGAATTTTGCGACAACTACTCGAACAAGTTTCGAGAGCTGGCCGCTGCTGGTGATATTTCCCACGATGCTTTCATTCGAACAACGGACTTGGAGCACAAGGAAGCCGTCAGTGAGTTTTTGCTGCAGCTAAAACACACTCTGCCGGAACATTTGGGACTCTACAAAGGAACACATGAAGGATGGTATGCTGTGAGCGACGAATGCTTCTATCCAGAAGATTTAGTGCGGCCAGACATTGTACCCCAGACAGGAAAGAAGATTATGGTTAGTGACGAAACAGGAAGCGAGGTGGAATGGGTCAAGGAAGAAACCTGGTTTTTTCCATTGACAAAGTACAAGGATGCTCTTTTAAAATTCTATGACGAGAATCCCAACTGGATAACTCCAGCACATCGGATGAACGAGGTTCGCAACTGGGTTGAAAATCACTTGGAGGATTTATCGATCACGAGGCCTGCGGCTCGGTTAAGTTGGGGCATCCCGGATCCTGAGGACCGTAGCCAGACGATATATGTTTGGGTTGATGCGTTGATCAATTACATTACTCAGGCAGGCTACGGCAGGAAATGGCATTCTTCATCGGATAACATGGGACTCTGGCCCGCGGATTTGCAAATTATTGGAAAGGATATTCTGCGATTCCATGCCGTATACTGGCCAGCTCTCCTCATGGCCCTAAATTTACCTCTTCCCAAGCAGTTACTCTGCCATAATCACTGGACCATGTCCAATCGGAAAATGTCTAAATCACTTGGCAATGTGGTCAACCCCTTTTTTGCTGTGCAACGTTGGGATATTGATCCTTTGCGATACTTTCTCATGCGAAACGGAAGCTTTACCAAGGATATGAGTTACTCAAATCAGCTGATTGGGTCAGTTTACGCCAAAGAGCTGCAGGCGAATATTGGCAATCTTCTTTACCGAATTGCCCGACCAAAGGTTACTTCAAAATGGTCGACTCTCGAGGCGGTCACAGCATTCCGCCAGGGTGCCTTTGAGGAAATTCGTGATCACACTTCGCAGCAGCCCTTTCTTAGCCTGGACGATCATTTGGAGAAGATTACTTCCGCATATTACGAGGAGATGGAGAAGTACAACACTGGAGGCGCTATTCGCGAAGTTTTCAATCTTCTTCGTGAGGTAGGCTTCACCTGTTGGATGAGATTGCTTAAACAGCACTGACAAGTTGCAGACAAATCGCTACGTTTCGGATACGGAACCATGGAATCTAGTCAAGAACTCGAATCCACAATCCCGTATACTGCTTAATTTGGTTATCTACAATTGCGCGGAGGCCTTACGTATCGCTGGCATCCTGCTGCAACCAATCATGCCTACCAAGGCATCCTTGCTGCTGAATGAACTTGGAGTTAGGGAAGATCGACGCACTCTTGAGTTTGCTTCTAAGGGCAAGGACCCGGAATACGGCACCGAAGCTCAGACGGGAGACTCAGCAGCTAGATTGAAGAAATGGGACACGATTTTCCCCCCAACACCAAACGCGAATGACTCAGACGCTGAGATCATGGAACAACTGAGCTCGGCACTGCATGACAAAACAAAGAATAAAATGAATCAAGTTGCGGAGCTCCTAGCTATGGAAGCCCGCATGGGAGAAGAGGCTGTGGCCAAAATGTTGGCCGAGATGCATGCTGCGAGGTTAAAGACGGCTAAAAAGACAAGCCGGCTGTGATCCGCGTCGTGTCCAGTTAGATGCGTGTCCAATTACTTGTATAACATGTAATATATGTAAAACCAAATGTAATTAGCACCCTTCATCTTGTAACAAATGGAACATCACTCATTTTCTTTCAATAACGCGAAATGGGCGACACCCTTGTGGTAACGTACTGTGGTCCCATTGTGGACGTTGACGCGGCCCAAAAAGTTGCCCACCCTGACAAATTCTGATTCCCAAAAAATTGTCCCGCTACGGCTATAGCCTTGCATTTCCGGCCGACAGCGTCAATTGCAAGCATGAGAGTCAATCAAGCCACAGGCAAGTCGACCATGGTGATGAGCTCACGGTGTAGAATTAACCTGACCTAGGCATCAGTACCAATAAAGTGCTGCTGGTCCCGTATGAAGCTCATCATGTCGGGAAATACCACGAATGGATGGGAGATCCGGTACTTCTCTTAGCCAAGCCAACAGCTGCAATGCGCATCGCAATCTGACTTGCGTTCCAGGCAATTCGAGAAGCGACAGCTTCTGAACTACTGACTTTAGAAGAGGAATACGAGAACCAGCAATCCTGGCGAACTGCCCACGAAAAACTCACATTCATAATATGTGAAGCACTGCCCACGGCAGACCGAGCATCGCCATCAATCAAGGCGAAAGTGGTGGATGCAGATGACCGCATGATTGGAGACATCAATTTCTTTATTTACCAAAATGATGATCCTGAAGAAACCTCACCAAACCGAAAGGCCAATGCCGCCTTGAGAGGGGAAATCGATGTCATGATCGCAAACACAAAGCATCGAAGGCAAGGATTTGGAAGTGCCTCAGTACAAGCCTTACTGATGTATTTGCGCGAAAATATGAAACACATACTGAAGGAGTATGCATGTAGTCTTAAACTTGGACAAGTTGACCTGGCGGAGCTCATGGTCAAGATTCAAGAAGGAAACATTGGCAGTAGAAGATTATTCGAGAATATGGGTTTTAAACAGGCTGGAGGTGTGAATTATTTCGGCGAGGTCACGTTACTAGTTTCGTGGGCGAAGGTCGAGAAACTGGTTGATGAATGGTTGAGCTCGGGTGAGGTATATCGAGAGGTCAGGTATGAAATTTCATAGAGGCATAGGGAGTGGGGATCAGGTCACTCTGAGAGATCTTGAGCATTGTGACATCTGCGGTGGGAAGCCATGCAGGCTGCGGATTTGAAAGCGAGCAGCTTTCAGTCTACTAGACCCCGTGCTGTACGCGCAAATCAACAAACAAGGCCTGTGCAAGCGTTGATGTAACCAAGTTTCTGCACACTCTATCTTGACGAAGCAAAACGAGCATTCAAGTTGTTCTGACCCGGGATGAAGGGAATTTGGCCTTGCAAGGCTCCAACTCTTGGATGGTCAGTCGGACGATGTCCTGCAGAAACCATGTTAGGCCCGGGTTTCGAGTGTTGGTACAAGTCCTATTGTCGCAAAGTCCTTTGTATCACGACATCTATCGAAATTATCCTCTGAAGTTTCTCTAAAGGGACATCTGAAAAGCTCCATTCCGGCTTGTTTTCCCTCCCTTTCTCTTCGGTGCTAATAGCTCAGACCTGCAAGAAATTCCCCATCCGATGACTCACTACGGCCAACAATACGAGTTGTGGATGAATCAGGATTGGGCACCAAGGACCATTGCGGGTTCTTCTATGGTGCTGATTCTTCAGTCCTATCCGTACTTATCTCTCGAAATATAGACAAGCTAATAAATACCCGAAATGACAAAATGTCGCACACGGAAACTTGGACCGCTGAAGCGGCTCAATGCAAAGTCAAACAAGCAACACCAGAAGAAATGATGAAGGACTTCAACTTCGATCTAGAACGAGCCAAACGCGTTACCTATCGCAATGAAAAGTATTCCTTGGAAATTCACGAATCCGTTCCTTCTTGGCTCTGTGCGCTCTGTCCTGCTCTGCAACCTAGTCTAGACTATAGTACATGAGCACAACAAATTTGGGAAGACATAGAAGACTGGAATGAACAGAGTTGTTTCCAAGTGTGGTAATGAATACTTAAAACGTCACTGCTTGGCAGTGGCCTGAGCTGTTGTAGCAACCAATGTTGACATCTGGACCCCGTCTGGTCCAGCAGCTTGCTGGACAGCGCGCCTCTGCTATACGCAGTATATCCTGTCGCAATATACGACTCGATGTTGAGGATGTGTCGTTTCCAGGTTTTCATGTGACAATGGGCTTCCATTTGACACTAATTTAAGCTATTATGGCATGCGTACTCTCTTCATCCTAGCACCTTTCGAGTACCCTACATTTCGCATGAGGAGATACTCACATCATCGAATATGTGAATCTGTCCAACACAATGCACTATTCTTGGTGATATGCGGATCACGTTGTAGAGAACATCTCCAGTCCCCGCTTTCTGTACTCTTGACGATGGCGCCCTCCGGCGTTGCCTGATCACTTGCGGAGTTGTAATAACATAGACATTGAGCTAACTTGGTAGATAGCGCTGGGTCTAATACACCTAGGACCTACGTACATATTGGTAGATGATAGAAATACCAACAATCCTGCTGGGTACAAAGGGCTACATTGCACTTATCGCACCTGTAATTCGTCTGCCTAGCCCGCGTCTTTGAGCTACTCTGATATACCTCGCCGGGAGGGGCTCTTGCTGAGTTTCTTGTGGCTATTACACCAACCTGCCGGCGCTGACAGCCAACGCATGAACTGTATTTAGTACTTTTGACGTGATGATGTTCTGCAAAGGGCGTGAATTCGTCTCCGGTAGAAAATCTCCTCCGTGTGGCTCCGTCTGAATTAAACTGCTTAATTAGGCCGACTGCGATTGCCTCTCGCCAGCTGGTCTGCTCATTGTATGATTTCCAATTATACTTCTTTTTCTGTTGTAAGATATATGTGTTTACAAGGACTGTATCAAAAATAAACGTCCAAGCTATAGCCTGCCCAGAGTCGTGGTGAACTGAGTGTTTGTAGCCGAGATGAAATCGTAATTGATCGCCTCTGTCCACGGCATTCATGCGTTCGTTGTAGCAAACAGCGATGGAAGGCATCTGCATGACCATCTCTGACGCAGTACCAGAAGGCTCCGGTGCTTCTTGTTGTGCTCTTGCCTTCGTTGAACTTGATCGGCGTCGCTGAGTTTCCCGAGTGTTGCTGCCATCAAGAAAAGAGTTGAGAAATAACACAAGAGCATTATCCTTCCAAGCAGCCGGGTTTGCCTGTAAACGAATGAATTAATATGGGCAATACTAGGGGAGATACCTAGATAGATTACCTGATTATCTGCTCGTGACCCATCGAACTTCCACTGTACTTGACCCCTGCTATCTTGGCTTTTAACCAGAGCGAAAGGAGGATCAATGTCACCATTTAGACGAGCTCCGCCCGTGGATACAACACCGTGATCTCGTAAGGCGCGTAACAACTGTGGCGTTGTAAAGAGATCGTCAAAAAAGACCCGATAGCTGGTAATTGGAAGCTGCAATATTAGGTCTAATACCGCGGCTTGTGTCTTTGCCAATCGATGCTTGTTGGTTTGCGTTCTGACTAGAATACCTTGTTTTCGAGGCCTTGAGTCCGGAATGTGGAATTTCCACCGCACAAAATAGCCCTCTTGTGCAACAACCCAAGCCTTGATGCCTTTTGGACCAGGTTTTCTTGAGCCCGCTTTAAATCGGATCACGCACTTATCTATGGCGATGTGTTTGCCTGGCACAAAGAGATCAGAGGAGACTGCTTGTATGTGCTCTGACCATCGGGATACCTGCGATATCGTGCGTTCGACAGAGCTAGTGGTATTGGATTCGGAGGGTGGAGAGATGCGAAGGAATTGAAAAAGTTGCTGGAATCGGGGATAAGTCATCCATTTCGTGACTGGATGTACTAGCTTGAGCTCTCCTGGCTTAGGAGTAATCCAGTAGTCGGAGACGCGTTTTTCTTTGTGAATTCCTATATAAATTAGGATTGCAAGCCATATATACACTTCTGCGACAGTCGTCTGCTGCCAGCTTGCAAGGGGTTTTGGCGGTAATTCCTTCGTTAAAAGGAGTGCAACATAGCTGTTGGTCCAGCCAACCCACTCTTCAACTAGCGATACGGGACAGAATAGCTGGAATAAAGAGACAGGGTCTTTAGGAAGGTCCATAGCCATCAGTGTGGGCGCGAGCTTTTGGTTTGAAAGTTCAAAAATGGCTGCCCGTACCTGAAGCCGCATGGGGCCTTCAGTAGTCAAGACCGGGCCCACGGGTTATTGGGCCAATCTCTTTAGCTGCCCAATGGCTCGTGGGGCCTCTTCTGCTAAATTTTCTTAGGTAAGCGAGTCTCCACGAGCTATTGGGCAACTAAAGAGATAGCTTATGAGATCATCTCCATGACCGCCTTTACGCCTCAAGCTGCCAATCAACGGAATCGTTTAAAAATTGATTGACTTCGTCTCTACTTTGTGGCCAAAGCGACAATAATTCTGCTGCGACAAGCATTCTTATCCACATGCCATAATCTTCCCAAGTTCCCAGGCATTCCATTCATTCAGCCTTTCAACTCGATTTTTTAACTCGCGCCAATAACGCTTGCCGTCGCCCTCAATACCTGCCTACCTACCTACACTTCACGACGGCCTCCCTTGTTCACCCATGTCGGCATGAGCCAACTGCCGGATACGGGGCGTACAGCCATCCTGTGCTAAACAATCTACCTACACTCGTATTCAGAGATCTTGTTTTGCGGTGTCGGACTCGACAGTGTTATCACGAGGGACCTCAGCTTCAGCCGCAGCTGCGCGTTAGCTTGGGGGGGAAACAGCGAGACCAATTCCTCACCTACCATCAAAATACGGATCGTGCTATTCACGCTACCAACTCTATCTATCCGCGCTATCACGGCTTGATTTGGCCTAGTGGCTAGCTGGCCACACCCTAACATATATCCGCGTAGACCATTCGTAAATGTCTGGTTGAGCTTGGTTCAGGTTACCGGCTATAACAGCCGCAACCGCCACAAATTTTGTATACGAGAGAATATCGGCGAGACAGACTGCAACGCATTGATAGACGGCGTTGCAATTCGTTAACAATTATGCGTGAAGTGCTGAATGACTGGGAATATCCCAAAATGCTCATTGGTTATGAGGACGTCTTTCGTTATCGATGACTTAATACTCCTATGGTGCAGGATGCCCAACTTACATATGCACGACATACCAGGATGTCGAAAATAAGCGAACCAGGGAAGATCAGGTTTTCAGCTGTCTTTAACACTAATTAGTAAGTCGAGATCCGGATGCCGTGCGCGCGATTGTCTAGACTGCCGTGCATATAAATAAATGGACAATTCCCCAGGGAAGAGCGTCGCGTCATGGTTTGATGATTCGAAAACCCTTTCCCGGTTAGAAAAGAAATACCACTTCTCATTAGTCAATTTGCCAACCATGCGTCAATCTCTTCTGAGCATTTTGCCCTTCGCTGCACTTGCATTCTGTAACGAGCCTTCGACAACACCACCTCCACAGTTCACCATCCCCTGTGTAGTTGGGAATAATCAGCCATGTTCAACGTCATGGACATGCACTCCTACAGAGACCTGCACATTGGGCCACCCGTGTGGCGGCCTCTGCTTCACACCTCCGCCCGTCGTCTCAGTCCCCATCATTCCTTGCACGATGGGAGGAAATTGCCATTGTCCTTCTGGGAGCACCTGTACCCCGACAATGTATTCCACACCCGACAAACCCTGGGGTGGACAATGTATTGCGACGACACCGCCGTCTACCTCCTCTCTACACCACTGTGCTGTTGGCGGGAAGCACCAGTGCTCGAAGGGAAGCGCTTGTACACCAACCATGCCTTGCTCCAAGGGTCATCACTGTGGAGGACTTTGCATCGCTACCTCCTACCCCGTTACCCGTACTGACGGTCACTCCATGTACCATGGGGAATAATTCATCTTGCTTACCGTCGAGTACGTGCACGCCGACAATGGTTTGTACTTGTGAAGGCCAATGCATTTAAGATACTAGGTACTTGGGATGGCGACGGAATGGTAGGCTATGCAAATTGTAGGGACAACTTGGACCTTGGAGGTGACCCGGCGACCGATCACTAAACGACATGAAATTATCTTCGCAATTGACAACGGACGCACTTGTGGAAAATGCTGATTCAAGTTTCTAAATTCTAATACTCTGGAGGTTCTCCTATCATGCTGCCCAAGTGGAGATACCTTGTATCCCATTAATCGGCCCACGGAATTAGTACTTCTGTCATAATCTTAGTTTTTTATTACCATTCAGTTACAGAACTTAGCTTGAATAAGAACTGTCGTGTTAATGCATCCTCTACACATTCCCATGAAGACGTCCTCCGATGTCCTACTGGCAGAATCCCCACTTTGAAATTTCACCAATCAGAGCTCCACAAAACTTCCCATCAAAACCACCTCGACCTTCTCCATACATCACCAAATCATCACGTCTCCTAATCTGTCAAAGCAACTACCCGCGCCCTCGACAATATGCAGTCCATCACACGCCTCATACGACCTATTCTCAGCAAATCAATATCCTCTACGCCTAGGTGTGCACAATATGAGCGGAATTACAAAACTCGATCGGTAAACTAACTGCGACAGAACTTTCACAACTCTTTCTCCCCTCCGTCCATCGCTCACCCCCTCCCTCCGCCCGGCACTCACATTCTTCACACCTGATATAAATACCTCCTTCGCCGGCGAAACCGTAGATGCCCTCCCGACAAGTGCTGTCTCGTCGCATCCGTCCCTGAGTGGACTGCAGCTTCGGTTCGGCCCTCGAAACACAATGAACGGACACACGAGATTGGTTCAGAAGCGCAGACATGGGTTTTTGTATAGAATGCGAAGCAGGACGGGAAGAAAAATTCTGCAAAGGAGGCGACTAAAGGGCAGAAAGCAATTGGCCCAGTGAGAGCAAAAGGCCGAATGTTGTGCCTCACGGGCAGAGCAACTGATAGACTGGGCGGCCGGTTTGTGCGTGGTCTCCAGATGTGCGGCTATCAGATGCTGAGGGCACATTGCTTCAAACGCACGTATGTACATTATGGGTGGGCCATGGAGTGGGCATTACATGTTTGTAGAAGAGCATCCGTGGCAAATTAGACGACCAGCGATGTACTACCACCTTGGGAGTTTCTTTATTCTTTTCTTTTTTTGCTCCCTTTTGACTACCTGAGAGCAAAGGGTTAAAGAGAGTGACTTTGAGCAGTTGTTCTTGTTGAGTACACGCTGTCTTCTCTAACTATCCTCCTTATTCATCATTCACTCGTTGCTGCACTTTGGCATTTCATCCCATCAACATGACATGAAACCCTCAAATCATCACTGGCACCTCCCAACCACACAGTATATCCCCCATCAACAACGGGAATAACCCAATCCTGTAGCACGACGTCCCACACACTCAGGTCCTTCCTAGTCAACTGCAACTCCACAGTGGTACTTTCGCCAGACCTAAGCACCTCTGTCTTTTCAAAATCGCGCAGCTGGATGATGGGCGTCTCGTAGGTGATGTTCTTGGGAAATTGCAGATACGCCTGTACGGAAGCCTTCCCAGAGTGATCTAATCCAGCGTTGGTGACCACTACAGACAGCTTGTAAGCAACATCCCACAATGCGGGATTGCCCCCCTGCCCACCGCCAGCGCGAGGACCAGGCTTCTGGGCTGTTGAGTATCCGCTGGGATATGGATACTTCTTTTTCACGTCTGCAGCAGCATTTTTCGCTTCGGAAGCTTGGAGCCACGAGTAAATGTATCGCCAGTGCTTGTGAAAGCCGTCGGGCATCACAGCTTCGCTAGGCTCGGGGATAGGCTGAGTGTAGTCAAGGATGCCCTCCTTGGGTGACCTGGTGGGCGGAGTCTTTGTCATTTGGCCAACTTTGGTGATTGTTGCGTTCGAATACGTGAAATTGGTGTAACTCAGACCATGTCCGAATGCATATCGAGGCTTGATGTTGTTTTTGTTCAGCCATCGATAGTCAATATACAAGCCTTCCGTGTATGTGTCTTGGTGTTGGTGGATATTCGGGGCACTTATCAATTTCGTCACGCTCTCCGGTAGGTCTTCCTCCTTTTTTGTAATAGAGTAAGGAAGATGGCCATTTGGCGAGACGTCGCCGAACAAGACGTCGGCAAGAGATTGTCCAGCCTCTTGGCCTGGCAGGTGAGCAACCAACACTGACTTCACTGCAGGTAGGTCAATCCACTTCTCGAGTATCATGGGGCCAACTGTGTGTGCTACCACAATGACATTCTTGTATTTTGAGGCGACGTCTTTGACCAGCTGATCCCCGTGGTGCCATGCGTACAGACCGGACGCATCTCGGTCGCCGTGGTTGTTTTCAACAGTATAGGTATTCTCTCCTGAGTCCGAGGTAATGAAGACAAGGGCAACATCTGTATCCTTTGGTTGGTCAATTTGATCTGGGAAAGAGTCCGTGTCGTAGAACTGGACGTCCTGGGCCCTGGTCTTGATACCAGAAATCGGGTCGTCAAGGTACATGTAATCCACCGTGCCAGATCCCCATCCTTGCCCAAGAGTACCCTTGTTGCAGTTTCGATCGGCGCAGGCATTAGGGCCATCTGGGTTCGTTTGAGCTCCCGTGCCGAAAATTTTGAGTGACTGAGACGTCCTCAGTGGCAACAAGTTGCCATTGTTCTTCAGAAGTGTAATGGCATCCTGTGCTACTTGACGAGCAATCTCATTATGATCGTCTTGGACAGGAACGAAGTTGTTAACCACGACGCTTGGTGTGTCGGGGAAGGCAGCTGGATATAGCATGCCTACACTATCTCTTGTCAATGTGTGGAAGTTTGTCTCCGGGAAGCCGTTATCCTGGCCCATTTTGTACCATGAGGCCACGACACGTGTAGCCATGTCGTTCAACCGGTCCATGGGTACGGAGCCGTTGAGAGCCGATCTGGTGAGGTCGTACATCCAGTATGAAAAGCCAAACAATGGAACCTGAGTGTCTCCTGGCATGTCCATATCCAAGCCAGCAATGGCAGAGGCCACGCCGGACATGTGAGCAAGCCAGTCGGACTGGACAAAGCCTTGGAAGCCTAGTTCGTCCTTGAGCAACGCGTTGATTAGATATGGGTGCTGACTGCACGCGGTACCATTTACCTGTATCAATTAGTCATTTTGCCAAATCAAGCAACTATTGCTGCCCAGCAACATACTGCATTATACGCCATCATAACTGATCCAACACCAGCGTGAATACCCTCTGCGAAGGGCCACATGTAAACTTCGTGCAGAGTTCTGTCGTCTAGAGCAAGGAACTGTCAGCTTATGAAGGGACATGGAGAGGTGTGGATGTGAGGCTGGCTGCGGTATACCTATGTTGGCGCTGTAGGCATATTGGAACGGGTTGTACATGCGATACATTTCCTGCTCGTTGCCGATGAAATGCTTAATGGTTGCAATCACGCCCTGCTCCTGGACGCCTTTGATTGTCTCACGAGCCCCAATGGCTTGCAAGGACGGGTCGGCGCCAAAACCTTCCCAGTTGCGACCACCCTTTGGTTTCCGTCCAATAGGCCCGACAGTTGGACCTAACCACACATTAACGCCCTTGCCACGGGCTTCTTTACCAATGGCGACAGCGCGCTGTACATGAGTTTCTTGTCAAAAGTGGCGCCAGTGGTGATTCCATCTGGGAAGACTGTCACATTGTCGGCTTGTCGAATTCCGTTGTGGCCGTCGTTGAAGCAAAGCTGCGGGAATCCTACACGAGGAGCAGATCCTGTATTGCCGTTGCAGCGTCTAACTTGTCAGTGAGGAATTCGGTGTAAATACAAATACCTAGGTAGACAAGCGAAATGCTTGAAGATCTAGTACTACTTGAGTCACTCACCCTGCCGTCCTTGTCAGTCTAAACATTCAGAGGACTTGGTATGTTCTTTCGTGGGCAATACATCCAATACAACTTACCCATGAATATGCCAGTGCCGGCAGTGATGTTAGTTTTCTCAGCCAAGGTCATGGAAGCCACGAATTCTCTGGCTTTACGATAGCTCTCCTGCCAGTCGCTTATCCACCCTCCATAGGGAGCTGGATAGTACGACGGCACATAGTATCCATCAGGCAGGTTCCGGCTGTGAAGGAACTCTTCTGGAGAAGCTTTGTTGGCGGGCGAGGCTCCAGATCCGGGCCTGCCAATGACACCAGTAGCGATTGCGGCTACGAGAAGCGCACTCTCCAACTTGGTTGAGACCATTGTGTGAGTGACGTCGTCTCCCGGGAGAGAGCTCTGAGAAGAAGCAAGCTATACAGTGATAATGACTTTGAGTGTAGCGAATGCAAATGCAGATGACGTTGTCACTCTAAAGAATGAAAGGGGCAGCAGTGCACGACGAAAAAGAAGGAACGGAAAAGGCCCAAACCGCATCATAAATGGCAGAACAGATTGGTTGAATTGAGTTAAGCCGTCGGCCAAACATTTTATATCTAAGTAAGCGAGACCTTCGGATGGCGCATGTTGCCGTCCCATGACGCCGGCTAATTTGGCACATGGCCGTGCGGTCTGAGAACTAGTACCTGAAGAGTGACGCATTACCTCGAGACATAAGCTTCCGCCAAAGCGGCACCGGAGTTTAAACTTCCAATGTTCAGGGAAGAAAGCCTCCCAGGGCCACAAATGCGATGGCTGAAAGGCCCGATGGGCCGTGTCGGCTGATGGCTAGGTTACATCGGGGCGTACGACATGGAGTCCTTGCAAAGTCGACGAGGACAAACAAAAAGCCAGTGCGACTATTTGCCGAGTCGGCCCATTGTCGACCGCGCCGTGCGCTTCTGAAGTCTGCTTCTTTTATCCAAGCGATGCAGGCAGTGCAGGGGTATAGACCCTCGAGTGGTTCCTGGGTTAGGAGTCTGGGGATGGCCATATTAATTAAAGTTCAACACTGTCCGTATCAAGGTTCCATCCCCAGGCACTTGTTGGCCCATGTATGTTTCTGGAACTCCCAGCCCCGATCATCCACATTAAGAACTTGACATTGACATTGAGGTGGCCCTGTTTGAGTAACCAGACCTATAGGGGTTAAACCGGCATGTGTGTAGATGATGAGAGTGTCAGCCGGCGGTCCTGGCAAAGATACGTGTCAGTAATTTTCTGCAGAAGAGGTCCCAAGGTTGGTAGTATAAGCGAATGTCCAGTATTGTCTCACTATTTGCGGCGAGTATGACTGCAGGTTTTCACTCTGCCTGTGCATGCCTGATGCAATTCTCTCTGCCTCCTCTCTGCCTTCGCTCCGTCCTTCGTCTTGACTAAAGGCGACCCATTTTTTTGCACACGTGCACTGCCTTTACTGATTAAAGAGGCTGAGGTAATGAAACGGAGATGATTAATTCAGGTGATGTAATATTGAGCTGATTGTGTCGGTTGGATAATGAAGGCTGGAAAATTGGGGTTCGGGTATTATTGATAGAGTCCCGCGCCCACCATGTCTACACAATGACGCAGAATTAGGATACGTGGGAATGCGGAAAGCCTACATACTTAAGTACTTAAAAGTAAGTACATACTTGTTGACACGGGGCCACCTGAGCAGCTTTCAAAAGTGCTTAATAAAGCGGCCCGATCCTCATGTAACATCCGGTGCATCTCGGTTCTCTTGGCTGCGTCCCTTTGTTGAAAGCTGCGCTGTATCGGTGCTTCCAGCGACACACCTAGTTACTTGTAGGGATGATAGCTATACGTTCTGGATAGCCATCTCCTAATTGTTGCTGAGGACGGCCCTTGCTGCATTTCTAAAGCTTCGTGCTGTTAGATTCATTGAACCTTTCAGGTCAACTGGTTACATAAGTACACCCACTGTACGTAGGTGCCAATCTTGTCAGGGCGAGCCTAGTGCGTAAGATGTACCGGACATCTCTAGTCAGTTGCTCCACCCACATAGTAAGCCAATGGCCACTCATATCCAAACAAGTTCAAATGTTGTCATCTCCCTTGAAACCTGCTGCCTTCATGCATCTTGGCATAATCAACTCCTACCAGCAATGTGAAAAAAACTACGGACTACTCCAATCCTTTAATGTTTTCCCGCCGCCTCTTCATCTGCCTTTCGCTTCTTTGCCAGTAGGCCATCCTCATGGCTAGCCGTTTATTATCGACTGCCCGCCGTTCCTCCCAAAATCGCCTCTTCTGGAGTAGGATCGACAACTAAATCGCATCGCGGCGGCCTACAACCTCGGACGAATTCAAGGTATCATGGACGCATCCAAGCCTCTGGGCGGCATTCAACCCCGTCTGTTTAAGCGAATTGCCACCATTATCCTTGCCTTTGCTCTGTCGGCTGGCATCATCTTCGGCCTATTCACCTATGCCCCAGAAAAGTACCTGCAGCAAATGTCCAATGCAGTGGGCATCTCTTCCGGGACGAGACCAATCCCTCGTTGTGGTGACTTTACCGGATCTAACGAGATCTGGAAGGAATCGCAAACAAAGTACCGAAACCTGCGCGATGACAAGTTCACGTATGGACTGGCCTATTTGCATACAAAGTTTGCACCCATCTTGTCTAATCATGTTTTCCTAGTATCGCAATGCAAACATATCGTCGACCCAAAGAGCTGAATGACACTCTGCATGCTCTATTATCCGAGAAGATTCCCTCATTGACAGAAGTCGTCGTGGTGTGGAACGATGTTGAGAATGCACCTCCTCCAAACTACCAGTCGAAACACGGCGTTCCCGTTCGGTACCGACCCTCGAGAGAGAACAGCCTCAACCAGAAACTATGGCCCGACCCTGCATACAAGACTCAAGCCATTTTCCTGTCCGATGACGACATTTACTACAAACCCAAAGACCTCGAATTCGTGTTTCAAACTTGGCGCAAGTTTGGCCGACGTCGCATGACGGGAGGATTTACCCGATGCGCGGACCGGGATGCTGATGGCGGGTGGAAGTACACTGGCTGCTCCACAGAGGAGGGCCAAAATTATTATAACATGATCTTATCTGGACTTGCTTTTACCCATATTTCCTTCATGGACTACTATTCATCGCAGGATGAAGTCCCCAAGAAGATCCGAGCCTACGTCGACGAGCATTTCAACTGCGAAGACATTGCTCTCAACTTTATAACGTCACTACTATCCGGCGAGGGACCTCTGCTCGTCAAGGGCAAGGAACCTTATGTGAGCTTCGTACCAAAGAATGGTATTAGCACAAAACCAGGGCACGGCGAGGCTCGAACCAAGTGCGTCAATGATTATTACGACATGTTCAAGTGCATGCCATTGATCAATGAAACGGCGCGCATTGAGCTCGGCGTTCTTATTTCATGATACCAATACTCTTTTTGGCGTCCGAGAGTAACTTCTGATGTATATGTGGAACCAACAGTTCTTGCTTGTATATATAGCCGAATCGACAGCAGGAGCCCCCCCTGTTACTCTCTTCTGTTTGCAATGCCCTTTGCCAATAGTTTGGTCTCGGCGTGTTGCTTTGGTCTATTTGCATGTGAGAGAAGAGGCGGGCCTTGCCATATTAAGCGACGAACTCGGCTGCCAATCCTGGGATATTCTAGCTTGCCAACAGCTTGTGTATGATATAGTTTCCTTTGTTTTTTCTCCATAGATTTTGGCCACACTGAGTCTTGTGTGTGTGTCCTGAAAGGCTCGGGAATGTGTAACGCTGAAAGCATCCTAGCATTTGATAGAAAAGGCTCATCACTTTATTCCCATTACGTATTGCTTGGTTTGGTAAAGATAGCTGTCATGCTGAGCCATTCGTTTCTCTTGTAACGGGTGAGAGGATTGTCCAGACCACCAATATACTTTGCCCAGAAGCCATACCAGGATACGCTGATGCTATCGCAACCACTCCTCGGGTGAGGTCCGTAGATCACAATGTGACAATCAGATAATTTTGTGTATCAAGAGCACTGAAAGCTGCATCTTTGTGTGATCAGGCGTGCCATCATAAGGAAGTCAGCAGGAAACAAACCAACCTACCTCCTCGACAAACCAAGGGAGATGTGTCAATTTGTAGATACACAACAGATATGTCTTGCTGTATATGCAGTGTGTATTGCCCTGGGTTTTTTTTGGGGGGTTTTTTTTTTAGCATGTGAGAGGAGAAGCCCCAGATCTCGATGTAAATGTATATAAAGGATAAACGTTCCTGCGCGGACACAAACATGAAACTGATTGATTGATGTGATTTTAGCAGTTGGTATGTGGCACGGTGAGACAGATGTATGGCCATGTGGTGCAGGAAATAGCTCGTGATGTATCGACACGAATGGATCTGGAGTGGGCGTCGTTGGCGCCATTCGAGATGATGTAGCTACATATGTAGCTACACCGGAGAATAACTTGCCTGAATTACTGCGTGGGTGTCGGTTGGCGCATGCTTTTCAATTTATGTCCTCACGGGCATATTTCCAGAAAAGGAAACGCCGAAAAAAGAGAAAACTGCCAACTAAAATGTTCCGTCCGTATTATACGGCTATAGCGAATTAGAGGAAAGACTACATATTTATTGCGTCATTCCCGGTTAGTGTCAACATCGGATCATGCGAAATGTGTAGAAATTACTCCGTAGATGAGCAAGATAATGCAAGCCACTAGAGATGCTAGAGCGCACTCTGAGTTTAGACTATAATATAACTACAAAGCTATAATGCGCAAATCAGCCGATGACTTGCGAGCTTCTTCCAAGAAACTCCTACACCTGCCATGGCGCGCGACCGAGTATGGCCGCGATTATTCATTACTGTGTGATTTTATGCCCTGGGATGCTTGAATGACTTGTTTCTGTATGATAACTCCGGGGGCCAAGGATTGCACCCGGGGATTTTTTTTGGAACCGGCGGGGAACCCATGTCGGTGGGGCTTCGAGGAATTGTGGCTGGTGCTTGCCCACTGGCCACAATGTGATTATCCGAGTGAAGGAGAGAGAAGGCGGGGTTGGTTATGGGGGTATGCGAATTACGAGTTGCAAGCACCCAGGCGGTCTGCAAGGGCTAGATTTTAGTGTTTACTGCCCTGCCAGGGGGACCCGATTTCATTTTCCCAACACGTTGACTTTACAGAGTTAGTTGGCATGTCCAACAAGATTTGACTCATTCGTATTAGTTGGTGCTATAAGCCGAATTTCGGTGAGGGGACGCGTGCGAGGAACAAGACAGGAAACTACCCAGCGGATACCTCGAAATTTCGTATGTTGAGAATATTCGTGTGAAGCCCATATTTGATCTTTGGTGTCGTTTCACTTGCATTTGCAAAAGTACTAACTCTGCAGACTACTACCACTGTATTGTAACGGAGAATGGTGCACATGTGCCATGTGCGCCGTCTCCCAGACTCTTACAGGCATCCAAAGATGTAACCCACAAATTCCTTTCCGTCATTGTTTTGGCTGTCATCACTCTACAGGCCAACTATTCGCTTAATATGCCAAGTTAACGGTCACGTCTCTCAAGCCGCTTGGCGCCAATGACACAATCTCTCAATTTATTGCGGTGTTGGCAGGTGCAATTCTGCCAACTGCCAAGCTCTACCAGCTTCTACTCAACTTGCGCATGTCGCATTTCTCGCTCAATTATGTCTGACACCAAGAATTCGATGGAAGTAGCTTCCGAAACCCTCACAAATGGAGATGAATCGAATGTCAACGATGGATTCACCTCGTTTGGTCCTCGAGTCAACTTTGACGAAACTATCAACCTCATATTCCAAGCTCTTCCAAGCGAACGTGGAAATATGAAATTGTGGATGAGGCAGGACAATATGCGTCTCATGGCTGGTACGTGTGCGTGTAAGTCATCCCGCCTGACCTCTGGCTTTGAAATCCAATGCTGGGCTTTCGTTCCGAGGGTGAATATCAGGCTCGGAGCAGGGGTCTCGGAGAACTTGCAGTCCTGAAGCCATGACTACCGGTCTAATACAAGAGGAAAGCGCTCGAGCTTTGACAAACTACACCGAAATGGAACACGCGTCCTCAGCAGGGGCCATGAGGGAGTTCTGCCTTGGCTGTGGAGCGAGACTCCTTTGGCATACTACTTGCCGGTCAGAACTGATACTACCTCGACCAGCCTCCGATGGTAGCAAGTAAGTGGCGAGAGGGTTGTGTCCGGTGGCTCTTGATGTCGTGGACAAGCAGAGTGAGCTTTGCTGAGAATGCCTATTAGGGAGGGATATGGCTCCGGAAAGGAGAGCAAAGTGATTGATTGGGACTGTAGGCGAATTTGCAGTCATGATAGGTGACGATGCTTCGCAGCACATAACCGGACTTATTGGCCCATGGGTCCATAACAAGATATCGCAACTTGATGTGGCACAGTCCTTGCAATTGAGCATGACTAGACAACTCGGAACGACCATGTCGACATGGCGTACGGGCGACTCACAACGCGCGTTCACTACTTGACCCGTTTGATCCGATGCCCAGTGCTCGGATGGCATCCTTAGTGGCCACTACACCGACATGGATCGACCCTTGCCAAGCGGCCCAGCGGATGCTCTCATCTGCGGAGCGTATCTCGGGGCGTTTGAGATGGGGTGCGCCACCATCTGGAGTCCCGACCGCAGTTTGGAGAAGAGAATCTGGGGAAGCAATGCCCGGTATTGTTTCTTGTATCTGGCAGTTGAGCAGCGGAAGTAGATGCCATACGAATTGACATCTTGCTGCTGGTCAGGTCCATGGTTTGTAAAGCGAGCCGCGTCCATTCATTGTCCAGGATATCCCTGGACCCTGACGATGCGGGGATTCGAATTCCGCGGGCATGTTGTTCTTATCATCCGAAGCAGGTGCTGGACGAACTGCCGTCGCCCGAGGCCCATGCATGATGAGCTCGCATGTCCAGCTTCGTAAGCATCGCATGGTAGTGAGCAGAGCTGAAAGCCGTGGCCGATGAAACGACACGGCCAACCGTCTCTTGCCGAGGACTATTTCAACACGTTGCACCCTGTACTTTTACATCTACCATGACGCACGATTCTCAGTACCTACAGCATTTCGGACTTGCGATATCTCGTTAGCATCGCAGACATGGCCGGTTCAAGTATAGATGAAAAGTCTGAGCAGCATACAGAGTATGTCGAAGCTCACATGCAGTCGCATCGGCAAGCGACAGGCCAGTGAGTGAAACTTCCGGTGGAGGTGAGCAAAGATCCGAGACATTGTGGTGCTAACGAACACTTGACCGTCTTGCAGATGCTGGCAGTCGCCTATGAACATTGATGCCAAGGAGGAGTCTCGAATCCGTCTCAAGATGGACTTTGGCCTGATACCTCTGGTCAGTCTATTGTATTGTAAGATGCTTCCGCCAGCCAGTGCCAGCAGTTTCTCAACACTCAACTAATCCGCCTGCAGTGCTTTCCTTCATTGACCGCTCAAACATTGGTAAGAACCCTGGAGACCTGCGAGCTCATGGTATTGACAATGAATGACTCACCGACGCCAGGCAATGCCCGCCTCGCCGGTCTCGAAAATGACCTCGGTCTGCGCAACTATGACTACAATGCTAGCCTGTCCGTCTTCTACATCTCATACATTGTCTTCGAAATCCCATGCAACGCGTTATGCAAGTACATGGGCCCTGGATGGTTCATCCCCTCCATCACACTGGGCTTTGGTATTCTCACCATTTGCACGGCCTTTGTGACCAACTTTGCGACCCTGTGTGCAGTGCGATTTTTGCTCGGCATCTTGGAGGCGGGCATGATGCCATCACTCGTCTACTTCCTGTCGAGATGGTATCGTCAAAGCGAACTGACGTTTAGAGTGTCGCTATTCATCATCTCGGCGTCTCTGGCCGGCGCATTCGGCGGCTTGTTGGCATCGGCTATTTTGAGGCTCGACAGTTTTGGCAGCCTGCATTCCTGGAGGATGATATTTGCAATTGAAGGTCAGTCGTGCCTCGTGGCCGCTTGCACCACACCGATTCCGTGTCTCACACACTCCTCCCAGGCACTGCAACCGCGGTACTCGGCATAATTTGCTTCTTTGCCCTCCCGGACCGTCCTGAAACGGCTCTCTGGCTTACACAGTCGGAGAAGGAGCTCGCCATCGCACGCCTCAAAGCCGATCGAATCGTCACCACTGAGCTCGTCGATCAGTTCAGCTGGAAACGAATCCGACTCGGCATCTTCAACCCGGTGGTGCTCCCCACGTCCGTCATCTTCCTCCTCAACAGCATCACCGTCCACGGCGTGTCCTTCTTTCTGCCCACAATCGTCAAAACCATCTTTCCCGCCCACAGCGTCTCCAACCAACAGCTGCTCACGGTTCCACCGTATGTGTTGGGCGCAATTACATGCGCAGCAACTAGCTACGTCTCCTGGCGTGTCAACAGGAGAGGCATCTTTATGATTCTTTGCGCCCCCTTGACGGTGGTCGGCTATGCCATGTTCCTCGCGTCCACGAACCCCAACGTGCGGTATGGGGCGACGTTTCTCCCATTCATGGGCATATTTACCTATGGCGCCTTGACGAATTCTCACGTCGCGGCAAATGTCGTCTCCGACACGGCCAAGTCGTCTGCCATAGCGACAAATGTCATGTTGGGCAACATGGGCGGGCTGATCTCAACGTGGGCATTCCTCCCGTCTGATGCGCCCCATTACAAGGTTGGTAATGGGTTGAACTTGGCGGCACAGGCCAGCATGATTATCATTGCGACAGTGCTGTACTTCTGGGTGAAGAGAGACAATCAGAGGAGAGAGACTTTGGATGCTGTGGCAGAGTTGGAGGGGAAAACCATGCAGGAAATTCAGGACATGGACTGGAAACATCCCGAGTTTAGATGGAGAAACTGAGAGTGTGTGTAGTTTTGAACGCATCACATCTTTTGACAAGATTGCGTACCATATTGTAGTTGCATCATCTTGAAGTTTTTGTCGTCTCGGCCATCGGGAAGTGTTCATCTTGGTCTTTTGGTCTATTGTAACTATTCTCATTTATCCGAGGCTATTTTGAACAGTATCTCGATATACATATTATCGTCCTTCTCGTTTCAAATTTTCCAGTGGACTTGTCGCCCGCGACGTACACACCATTTTTGCGAGTATACTTCCATGCTCACATGGCGAAAACTCTCATATCATGCGTTCTTTCCTTCTCTTTTCTTCTCACCATGTTGGCGGTGAGGTGCCCATAACATGCATTTCTTCATGAAATCAGATAAAACACCCTTTTAACCTGGCGACAAAGACTCCTTCATTCTGCTCCTGCAGGCTGTCTTATTGTTGACTCAGCTCCGGCTTTCGACAAGAGTGTAACACCTTCATGCCCAAATTAGTCCCAAATGATCCTTCCACGTGCGTATCCATCTTGCGAGGATATTTCTCGCATGACGGTCCTCCACTTGTTGAACGTCCATTATCAAGATCGGTCTCTTTACTGCCGATTGGGATAACTCTTAAACTAGCATCAATGACGCCAGAAAGAACTTCCTAGCTTGTTCGTTGTTCGTTCGTGTGCTCCATTCTTAGAGAATCATGTGGTTTCAATTTAATTTTGCCAGCATTTTTCGCCTACCAAGCTCATGACAGTCGCGTCTCCAAGGTGTCAACGGCACAAGATGGACAGTCTTGGGCTATGCGCATTCTTTAAGCTTGATGCTAACATACTATCGGATGGCTTCAACCTACGCCACGAATACCATGGCGGTCCCCCCGTACATATACAAATCCCACTTAGTTCGGAAGCCCCCTGAGGCCCAGCCTGTCCAAGAAGGGTCCATCATGAACTGCTACCAAATAGGCCGCGTCTGCGCCTTCATTGACATGTTGCACCTTTGACCACGCCGGTACAGCGAATGTGTCTCCTGTCTCCCAGTACAACTTCTCCGCCGCACCTGCAGATGACCCTATCACGGAGTAGCCCTTCCCTTCATAGCAGTGGTAGATAAAGGAGGTAGTATCTTGCATAATCTCTGTCGTCACGCCGGCGTTGACACGTTCTGCCTGAACGCCAAGTGTAGTAGACAGCGCGTTGCCGTCAGTAGTTTTGTAATGGTACGTGACATGGGGTCCTGGCATAGCGTCCAATGCCCGTTGGGTCGTTTCCCAAGGATGGCGCCACTCACAAAAGCTACCGAGCCTGGAGACGTTGGCAATTAGCATCTTGGCAGCTTTTTGGTCCAAATGTGAGGCCAAAATTACAACCTCGCACAAATTCATGAGCCTCGATTTGTGAATCAATAGGGCAACTTACGTGCTGGGATATCGACTCGCGGCGTAGTTTTCTGCAAAGTGCACACGAGCATATGTGAAAAGGGGCAGATTCAACGCGTCTAGCCATATCACTGGATTCTTGCTTTCATTCCCATGATCATGCCAGTGCCAGGAGGGCGTCATGACGACATCGCCCCTAATCAAGGGCATTTTCTTGCCTTCAACGGCTGTGAAGCCTTCACCAGAGATGATGAAGCGGCACGCGTACGCCGTGTGCCGATGGGCAGGCGCCGTTTCGCCGGGATTGACGAGCTGGAGGCCAGCGTAGATTGTGTCTGTTGTGTGAGGGGCATCTGCACATTGAAACTTTGTAAGCATACCGCCGGAAAAGGGGGTGGCCAAGTACATCATATCATAATTCGAAAATATAATGTGAATGGGACGAATAGCTGTGTCGTTGGACTTACTCATGCTGGGATTCACAAGCATCAAGACCCTCCTCTCCGCTTCCTCCTCCGGCACCAGTTTCCCTGCGGCTGACAGCAATGGCAATGTACTCTTGTATTTCCAGATGTAGGGCTTCGCAACCGGATTAGGTGTGCGAGGGACCATGGCATCCATTCTGGACCAGAGAGGTTCCAGGTGCCTAGCTGGTAAGGCTTTGAGGTAGTCCGAAACTGAGGGTAGTACCGAGTCATCGCTTGCCGTATCTGTGGTGTCTACGGAATAGTCGATATAATCCTTGGGAGTGACAGGGCAAGGCTGCACGAGTGTCTGGACTGACGGCGTCATGGCTGTAAACTCGGGATGTGTCGTGGCGTCAATACACTGCGGCTGTAATCTAGCACTGATTATGGCAGAAATCAAGTCCAATGAATAAAGAGTGAGCGAGCGAGCCCTGATCTGATGGCATATTATATCTTGGTGGGACGGCCTTGTTCTCCGGTGCTGCCGTGCACGTCACATTCACAGCAGCATAGCTCGCCTATTGTTGACTTGCTGCTTACTGCTGTCTTCAGCATGTCTATGCCGACTCTGATTACCGCATGATTCGAAACAACCACGTACCCGACTTGGCACCAAGGTAACTTCGTGTAACACCAATAAGCCCATCATGTTTGTAAACAGTTCCGGGAGTGGAGTCTCGATCGCAGACGGAGTGCTGGTGTGGTGACGTCGCGCATCCGAGCGTGAGCGAGCACTATTCCGATCGGACCGTTATATCATTGGTCTAGAGGAGGAAGTCGGCGCACGGCAGTTAAACGTCGACTGCGATTTCCGAGGCCAGTAGGTCGGTTTCAGGATGTGTGCAAGTCATCATTTCGGTGGAAAGGTTGGTCGCACATCCTTTGACTTGATGGCTCTCTTGGTTCTGCTGAGGAGTGCCGCCGGCGATGGAACCCGTGACAGTGATGCCTGGTCTGGTCCGGTGAGGTAAGGAAGGATTGATGGTCTAGTACCTGCCGCTGAATGATGAGCAGCTCCAGGCTGCCAGGCAGCACCCGGGGCTCAAATGTTACCAACATTGAACTCGAAAGCCAGCACTTTCATGTGAGGCTTTATGTGCTGCCTGACTGGTCACTTCACCCATGAGTACGAACAGTGAGAGGACATCGGGATGGGGCCCCAATAATCCAGTCAAGTCCACCACGCACAGCGAAACAGCACGCCTGCAAATGGCATCGGTCCTACTTGACATGTAGGATTTTCCCAACCAACCGGTTTTCGTTTTCTTTTGCCTGCCCCCTCCATCAAGATCTCCCCTGAATCAAAGCTATTCAATTCGAGGTTTTTTCCTTTGTGCAGTATATGCTGACAATGTGAATCTGCCAAACTTTGCAGAATGACGTCTTCCCAGACAGACATGTGATTTCCCATTAGCCGTGCCCATGCTGCAGCGGACGAACTGAGCAGTATGGCTGAAAGTCTGAGTTGCGACTCTCAGGTCTCTGATCTGCCCAGAGCCTCTACAACCTGCTGCAAAGTTCCGGGCTCACCTCGAAGAACCTCGATTGCTTTGAGCGACGCCACTAATGTGAAAAGAGCCGTCCCGGTTAAGGTGACCATATCGCTAACGAACAGAAAATTTTGGCCATACTGAATCGCTAACCACCCTTGCTGCATATTATCCTGCACATTCATGGCACTAGGGACGTAATATTCTTGGAGTGTGTGCTGGATAGGGATCTAAGAACCGTTTCAAATGATGGATAAATGAAAGACGAGTCTACGCAGAGAGCAGGTCATCAAGGACCCGAGGCATGAGTTCAAACTGGGTTCGGGCTTGCGGGGTAGTATTTGGGTTGAGGTATTGATTGTTCATAGATTGCCCAGTGCGTCACAACCCGGTCGAAAATCACAGGGCGAGCAGTAGAAATGAGCGGCAACATTAGGGGGGGGGTTACAGAAACAAAGGGCAGTGAAGGCCCTCTTGTTGTAATCCTAGCCATGAAGTTGGCGATTTGACACTACAGGGTATGAACATGTCAAGTACTGCATAACACCTGTCCCAGGCGCCGCAGACTCAAAGAATGATGCTGTGACAAGAATATTGAACATGGAAAGAACATGGAGGCACCAAGAGCCAGGTGCCCAAAAATCAAGCCATTTCGCGCTCGAGAATTCACTGCGTTGGCCATTCATATTTTTTGGCTTGTTGCTCTCTTGAACAGCACAGGTCATTTGACCACCCATTACTTTAAACTCTTTGTGTTCAAAGGTGACGGCTCTCTCTTTTTTCTTGGGAGAGGGGGGCATAAAAAGGCGCCTTTCTACTGTGCTGTGCCTACGATTGACGTCTTTCATCTCCTGCAGTGTTAAATCGACGACTCCTCTGCCTCTGGCCGCCAACCGTATTTTCTCGACAAGACTTCACTTCTCAGGCTATAGCACAAAACAACAAGTTCCTTGACCAGAGTATGTAGACCTTTTCAGAAACCCTCGGCGGAACATGGGTCATGACTAATAAGGACAAGGCTAGATACCACAGGAAATTCACCGACATGGAGGCAAGAAACCGCGAGGCCAGGAACCGCCGCAGGCGTGCACTAAGATGGACGGCTAGAGAGACGGATGCTGCCACGAGGGACCTCCAGTTGATCTTGGGAAGAGGGACCGATCTTGGCTCGTCGCAAAAATATGGCCATGATATATTTGGTCGATATCGCCTTGATCCTCCCGCCTTCCGCCGCCACGGCACCAGAATCCGGGTCTACAACATGGACACGCTCGACGCCGCCGCCGAACTGCGGAGGCAGGCTATGGCAGATCCGCGGTGGCGGCGAACCCGCCGACCCGCCGTCCTCAACTTTGCCAATGCCGACCAGCCCGGCGGAGGTTGGTGGAACGGCGCGGTAGCCCAGGAGGAGGCCATGTGCTACCGCTCGACGCTAGCGTATAGCCTCCATCGACGGGACTACCCGTTGGACTCCCTCGAAGGGATATACTCTTCGTGCGTCGCCGTCCTGCGCGACAGCATGAGCTCTGGCCACGCGTGGATCACCAACAGAAGGTTGCTGAGCCCCGACACGGTTCGGGAATTACTACCCTGGTATAGCGCCCTGACCGTTGCAGCAATCTACAAGCCCCGAACGCGATACGAGACGATAGGCTGGTTGCGGCGACAGACCAAAGTCTTTGCCTATAACGCGGACCGGCAACTGGCCAAGGACAAGATGAGGCTCGCATTGCATATGGCGGCCATGTATGGCCACGACATGCTTGTCCTTGGTGCCTTTGGCTGCGGCGTCTACGAGAACCCTCCCTGGGATGTTGCTCAATGTTGGCTCGAGGTGCTGAGGGAATATGGGCCCCGCTGGCGATGTGTATGGTTTGCTGTCTATGACCCGCAGGGGCAGGGCAACTTCAGGATATTTAAAGACGTGTTGGACGGGAGAACAGTTTAAGATGGGGTGGGCCGAGAAGGAGTTGGTACTATCTGCAAGCATCGCATGTCAATTAGTACGATAGTTACCGGATACAAGACACGATTGGGCTGCATCGAGGCGCACTTTCGAACAAGGCGTCCAGAATTCGGTGACTCGGGAATGTAGACCCCAGGTGCCTTGTCTCAACGTGCACCATGGCATCAAACACGACAAGCGGGGTTTCATCAGTCATGGCTGTCTGTCTGCCCATTCGAGGCCCATGCAGCCAGTCGCCGGCAGCTTCAAGTGCCTTGCCATCCCAAACCAAGATTGTCAGAAGCCCCTTTGCGCCCCCGTCTGGTCGGGCTCCTTGTGGCTAGTATGGCCAGGCTGTTGCTGGGCCCGTGGACACCGACGTAATAGCCAGTGGGTTGAGGCACTGAGGTGATGTCATTGTGTCCGTGGTTGCTGTGATTGAAATGAACGGTCAATCCGTCGCCGTCTCCAGGAAAATGCGCCGCAATTTGATCGCGGCACCTGTCATGTGGTGGTTAGAGAATGAATGTCTTTTAGAAGTTGAGTGGAAACTACTAGGTTAAGTACTTAGGTAGTTACATATGTACCGAGTCAATCCGAAGCCTCCGGCGACACCAACCTCAACTGTTTGAAATCCAGCGACAAACGGGTTTCAACGACCATCAACGCCCAGATATGCACGGGCCAACAAGCAGGTTCCGAGTACTTGGAATGCTGGCCCCAAACAAAACGCCATGTCGCCACCCCCCACTTCCGCCACAATAATCCGCGTCCGCTTTGCCATCGTCAGCAATCATCACCATCGCCATCGCCATCGTCACCAGAACAAGTTTCCTTGGAGACCTCGTCCATGGGCAGCATGTCGTGAGTGAGAATGGCGCGCAACATGTGCCCCTCGAGACATTCGCAACGTGCCCTGCCCGCCCCGCCAGCGCCCTCTTGAACGAACATGTCCAGCAACATCGTTGCAGAGTCGTGGACCTGGTACGCCCTGGTCTGGTTCGTCGTCGTCTGTCGAATGTAGGTTTGCGCCGCTGTCGACCCTTGAATCGGCTCATTTAAAAAAAATCCCACGCATCTCATCTCACCTGCTGCGTCTAGCATCTCGCAAATCCTTCTTCGAGGATCGATTAAAAAGCTGAGACCCGACGATGGACTGATTCTCTTCGCCATGGTGCGTAACCCCCAACAGGCGGCCATCACAGTCGCATGGCGGAGCTGGGCCTAACCTCTCTCCAGATGACCTACACGGTGTTGATTGTGAGCATAAACATTGTGTCCGACACGGCCAGCAATCTCATCGACCCAGAAGACCATGTTGTACTCACGCCCGAGAGCCTCAGGGAGCGGCGGTTTGGGTCCAAGATGGTCTTGATTGTCGAGCAGATGCAAATCAGCACTGTCTGGATAGTCAAGACGTGCCTGTTAATCATGTACTACCGCCTGACGTGAGTTCACTCCATATCTCACCATATTTCACAAACGCATAAGAATATGCCTTGTTGACCCGCCTTCAGACTGGGCCTCGCGCAAAACACCGCAGTCAAACTAGTCGCCGTCTACATTGCCATCGGCTGGATAGTCATGGAGGTATTGTACTTTGGAGTGTGGTGTAGACCCTTCTCCGGGTATTGGGAAGTCCCTCCGTCCAACCGTGAGTGTTTTTTTACCCTCCCTACCTGGTTGGCGTGTGCGCTCAGCAATATTAACCGATGCGACTCAACCAGCTCAATGTGCAACAGCCCTGCATCACTTGATCACGAATGCCGTCTTCAATATCTCTTCTGATCTCATGATTATCCTCATCCCGATACCGCTACTCCTGAGAACCCATTGGCCCCTCAAGAAGAAGCTCATTCTCTGTGTTGTGTTTGGCTTGGGAGGCTTTACGGTGAGTTGCACGAGCGATAGTCTTTGCAAAGCGCCCCAGACCCTCTTTGTGCGCACTGCGTAGCTAACCTGGACCTAGATTCTATCCGCCGTTCTCAACAAATACTACAGCTTCACACAACCATATGGATCGCAATGGACATTCTGGTACATTCGGGAATCGTCCACCGCAATCATCGTCGCCAACCTGCCTCTCACGTGGACGCTCATTCGCAGAGTCTTTAGCGTCGGCTCGTTTAGGGGCGGTAGTGGTCGAAGATCAAGCGCAGCAATGCGATCGACACAAACGGAGAATGAGCGCAAGCATGCGGCATATAATCCTCATTCCGCCGTGAGAGAGCCCAGCAGCAGCAATCAAAGTCAAGAAGTGGATGGTACATTATAACATAATATTTTAGTGCTTCTAGTAAAGCTTACCATATATATTCTTAATGAATGTAGTATTTTCATTCAGAGCTATTGGTACTGTTGTTGGCTGCTGCTGCGTGAGATGTATCTGCGGGTATGCAGCTTCAATGTTGGATCACTGTCAGCTAGCAGTTGCCGTAAGTAATAGCTGCTTCCTTCACCAAACGCAAAACGACTTTACGGAATTACATTGAATCATACTGCATCACGGTACCATCCACGGGGCCGCCACAGCCAAGAGGGATTTGGGCTTCACCCTGTTAGCATGAGAGTCCTAGCTGGCCATGCCAAGTCGAACAGGGCCAGAATTACAGGTACCCGGTTCTATGGCTTGCCGTTCCGCTTGGTCCAGGACGCCCAACAGCCCGTAGGAATTCTCAGGAGCATTTTCCAAGTTTGCAGTTGTAATTCAGCCCGCGAATCATTGGTAAATGCTGGAAGAAAAGACGAGTCATGGCAGAGTGGTCTCATGATATGCCGATTGAGTTATATGAAATGCTACAAAGATATATATGCCAGACTGCCGTAGCCATTAATTAATTATTCAACACCACTTACATCCACCCACTATTGGGCGGCAACAAAGCCAGCGCTTGCATGAGCGCTCAAAGGGAATGAAGATTGTTTCCTGCATTCATCCAGTCGTGCTAACCTTGCCAACCAGCCAGATCAAGAACATCTATTGCGACAAGTAATCGATTCGATTGCTTACCCCATTATGGTTTTGGGTCTTGGCTCCAGGGAGGCGGTGGATCAGGACTTTCCATCTCCGCAATCTGGTGCATCTGTCCCCTTGATTGTTGGGCGACAACGTTCCAGGAGGTGGTGAAGGACTTTCGGCCGCCATTTCCTGCAGTTGCGGCAATTTTGACTGTTCCCATGTCGCCGCCGTACTGACGGGGCTTCCAATTGTCGATACGGTGTATGAGTCGTGCGGCCCTCGACTGTAATAGCTATCGTGCGGGTGACTGTATGGCACCTGGCTAGAATAAGCAGGAGCAGGAGAGGCTGCTTCACTCATCTGGTTCTGAGCGGCGGCGGGCGTTTCTGCTGGCTTGTTTTGTTGTTGACGCCGAAAGTACAGCCACATGCCTACCGCCATCAGAATGACAACGGAGCCGCCAATCACGATGCCTGCAATAGCTCCTGCAGACAGGCGAGAGGAAGAATCGCCCGCAACTTCCCCGGATGAGGTTGCGGAAGAGTTTGGCGATGAGGACATTGTTGGAATTACTCCTGTCGCAGTGCCCGTTGGGGTAGAAGCCTTGAATCCATATGGTTCCAAGTTCTTATATGCCTCGCAATCTTTCTTGGGTACAGCCTCTGGGCAGGAGTCTGCATAGCACACCGAATTCAGTTGCCCATTATCGTCTGGCGGCGAACATTTATTGTTGTATTTCGTATTCAGAGTTGCAGCTAATTGCTGAGCATCGGAGTCCGAAAAGTTATAGTATTTGCTGGCTAGCATGAGTTGGTCGATGAAATATGCCACTTCTGTCGAATTTAAATTCATAAATTTATGAACATAGGCAGGCGTGAATGGGGCATATTCCTTTGCCACAAACACGCTAGCATTACTGCACTGGTAGACTTTTCCAAAGGTAACATACCAATGGGAGAACAAGATTCTAGTTTATCAAGCATTTGGTGAGTGGCCATTTAATCGCGATATTGTTTCCAGATGGCTAACGTGGAGACGTACTCTTGATTTGAGTCCGGCTCAATTTTAGCAAAGACCGTAGAGCCGTTTAAAAAGGCAAGGAGGGGGTCGAGACCACCTCCGTCTAACCAGTTGATCGGTACTGGTTGGTCACGAAAGTTTGTAGTCGCCTCTACCACATTGTTAGCTCTCCAATATATGAGACGTTTGGCTTGGAATATGCCGAGCTGTTCCATACTTGATCCGTCAAATAAAGGACGGAGAAACACATCGTAACCGTTGAACTTCCCCTTGTTGAAAATTCCGGTACTATTTGGATTTGGATCTGGCAGGGTATCTCCGCCAGCGTAAGCGTACGCAATAATACCCTGCATCAAACGAAGCTGTGTCGCGACATTACTTTCCCCAAAGACCTTTTCGGCATAGTAGTCGCAAATGGTTTGATTGTCTCGTCGGGAAGCGGCGACTACTCTTCCGATGTATACGGCGTATAAGACAAGTGAAAGCTTAATGCACTTCGACAGCATTTCGAGGGAGTCCTTGGGATTTCACATGCGAATTGCTGAAGGGGAAGAAGCAAGTGAAGAGGGACAGCAGAAATTGGAAGGGAAGAGGGGGGAAGGCGGCTCATCAGGGAATCTCTCGTGGTACGAGACATATGAAAAGCGAAAACAATGGCTTGGCACAGAGAGCGCTCGCCGAACCAACGAACTCGGGCAGTCAATCAGACCGCATGCAAGCCTCACAGCTTGTCAACAGCCTTGTACGACGTTCAACTCGGGCAACCTGCGGTCCTGGTCCGCGGGGGACACGCCCAATGATATGATTTACACTCGCAGCCACAATCGTATTCATGAACCATTGACGGATCTGCGCACCGTGGGTGGTGCTTTCGTTGGTCCAAGTGCTTATGCACAGCAGTCGGCAGTGTTCAGACTGGCCTGGTTGCTGGTGTTGTCTTTCCATGAAATCCAGGGATTTGGGCATCAGTGAGTTGTGGGCCGGCGAGATGTACTTGCAACCAGGAGAAGTATTTGTATTGTGATACGTACTCCGTATAGCTATCGTGTTCCTGAGGGCCTCTCTCTTCTTCTCTTCTTCCTCTTGAGAAAGGTGAAAGGGGGTGGCGCCGGCTCGTCGCCTGCAAAGACCCGACACCTTCGTCCAATTTGCAAACACTGACAGGGCCAATAGTTGCGTCAACAACATCGGGATTCTGTGCCAAAAACGAGACTCACTGCAAAGTTCTGGGACATCTTTGTAAGTGCCTTGGAAAGAATGGATGGGTTTTCACCCCACTGTCATGCCTGACGCAGGTCTGACGAGGCTTAGGACGGGGCCTCTCGTTGGCAACGCCATTTTTTGGCCGTTGCAAGATTCTCAATTTGCTTCGCAAGTGTGTTGTGTTACAAGAGCTTTTGCAGAATTGGGCCTCATCCCCCCGCCACGCTGTAGCATGGTTGAGAACGGCCAAGCTCGCAGACGTGATTGCCCGAGAGAGGACCAGGGCAACTTTGAAGGTTCCTGACCGATGGCGATTTCCTTTAAACCAAAAAACGTCGATGCAGCTTTGGCGTAGCTCTTGCCTCTGGTAGCCCAGCACAAACCACTCAGAGAGCCTATAGTCTCTAATCATTGCATCCAAATAGAATGCTGCAGCTTTCCTGAAGGCTCCAGTCAAAATCATCGTCCATTGTTCGGTTAGAACAGCACTTTAATTTGACAGTAAAGTGGAGGTCAGAAAGTTGTTGCGTTGGTTGGCCCTCTTTGGCTTCGACTGAGTGATCTGGCTATTTTCGCATTCTTAGAGAGCCCAATCACACTGGCCTTGCGGATAGTCGATGCCAAGGGGTGCCCAATGTGCGTGCTTTGGTCAACGTCATGGCCCAGTCCTTTCTGCTCGAAAAGTCAACAAGATCAGCCAACATGAGAGACCTAGGTGGCCATGGGATGGCAATACAAACAAATCACCCCTTCTCCAAAGTTGTACGAAGTCATAGTGCCGAACCAGGCTCTGAAAAATTAGACGGAAAGTTGTGTGCCAATATATGGTCTTGGCACCCTTCGTCACACAAACCGTTTCGTCTTCCACTCGTGGACCATAGAACTGTATCAAGCATGATGGCTACCCAATTTGTGAGTCCTATAGTGCGTCTATCATCAGCCAACTTTGAGATTACACCTCAGCCGACTTCATTGTCGCACGATACATAGCTGTGACCTATTACTTCAACGGCCTTTGTGCGCGTGGATTTTGCGAGCCTCATTCTCCGGGATGAGGGGTGGCCCTTCCAGGAAATGAGCCTTCGAAGCTGCATACATAGAATCGAGGACATGTCAAAACAAGCGTCGGTAGAAGCTAGCTCATAGCTAAAAATATCTTCCGATGGAGGCATGGCTCGTTTTGTATCACGCGGTGAAGTGTCTTGTTCTGCCGGATGGTTTCCGGTGCAGTGCAAGGGCTTGTTCGCAAGGCAACTGGTCGTCCAAACCCCCCAACCTCAGTCCATCATTGATCCCACTTAGTAAGGATAAGTCTGCTTTGTCAACCAGCACGCCAGGTTATTCTCCAAAACATCGTTACATACACGACGTCCGTAAGCTGCCTGTAATTAAATTGTTGTTTGAGCGCCTTCCTGGACTGGATTCCGCACTGTTGACACAACTTGCTTGCATGAAACGTCGCACAAAGTATTGTTCTGTGCAAGTACTTCTTCCTGTGCGCCATTCTCCGTCTTAAAAATATGACAGGTGAGATACTCAAGGTACATAATAGTACTTTAATTTTGCTGATTATCAGGTGGTTAAAAAGATATCTTTTAGTCTTACTAAATATAGGCGACAAACCAGCAGCCCCACATAACAGTGCGAGCGCTTTTGATGAACCCGTCGTAGTCACCAGGATACAAACCAACATTGAAGCTCAGGAAAACGTGATCTAGGCCACATAGCATATCCAAGGCGCTTCTCTATTCCGACCAAGCCGATTTCCCCCCTGGTTATGCCCAAGTAAAATTGGGATCCACATTAGCCCCAAGATTGGATCTAGAGTGCCACACGACTTGCACTTCAGACTTGCGAATAGCTTCATGGAGGACATTTTGGAAGCAATACAATGCGATCAGGGTTGGCACACTCGAGAAGCAGAACGCTGAGGTCACAGAGGCTGCCTACCAGAGGAAAGAGGAGATGGCTGGCACTCAAGCTTCATGAGCTCAGTGACGAAAAGGAACGGCGAGGCGAATAATGACACGTAGTGCCATGACTGCTCGCATGTTTATGCTGGTCATCATATTCGCGCATAGCTGCCGCATCAAGCCACTTTTGTATATCTTCCCTGGCTTTTCAAGTACTCTGTGTATCGTGCGTTCCGTTCCGCTATTTGTTGAGCCTCCGAAGCAACTTTTGGGTCCTGAAATAGTTTGGTCTCGGCCTCCTCAAGCTCTCTGGCGTCTTTTCCCTTGGCAAAATAATTCTGAAAGACACGATTGAGGTCGGCAGGGCGTCTAATAATATGAGCAACGTGAAGAGAGGTACTCGATGGGTCGCGCCACTCTCGATTGGGCTGTTCGGGAAGTTTATCATCAAGGGCCAGGGCGACAGAAAATGATGAGAGGAATAACTTATCATAGTTGGTCCACGTATGGCCGGTGACCCATGATGGCGGCGTGCAAAGCTGGCGCGGGACGACGCTTGCAAACTGCCAATCAATGAAGCCGACGATCCTCATTTCCTCATTGACTATAATATTGCTTGGTCGTAGATCTGGATGGCTGAGAACGAAGGGACCACTGTCGAATTCAGGTTTTATAACGCTACTGAAGTAAGGCCTCATGCTGCTGAGGCAAAACATATCATACCGAACCTCATCTTCCGGGTGATCATGCCGTGGCGCAAGTAGATATCTGGAAATGAGATCGAACTGGGACTCTACAAATGCCTTGGACGATACAAAGCTTGGCATATCTCAACAAGCGTCGTTTGAAGATTGAGTCAGAAGGCCGCCAACTATCGGCTGCGACGCGTTGCCGCATAGCGTTAGAGACCCAATGGCAGGGAGTTCGAGAGACCAGAGTTCTGCCAAATAGCCGACCAGTTGGCGGAAGAATGTGGTCCTCATTGTACCGTTGGCGCGGAGTAGCCTTTCTGTGGCTAGAGGCGCCCCGGGAATGTAATCCAGAATGAGGAACATTTGCGTTGCCGTGGGGCTTGCCGTCAACTTTTCCCCTTTCCCATATGCGTGGACTTGGGCCACCGGTATACTTGTCTTGATGCGAACGAGACCACAGAGAGAGTTAGCTACCAGTCTGCTAGTACATGGGGAGAACTCACTCTATAGTGGCCACTTCGCTGAGCAATGTTTCCCACGGCTTATAGAGAGCAGGTTCAATAGGAATTCTGACAACCCATTCCTCATCATTATCAAACTTGACAAAAAAGCAGACATTGTAACTGCCTCTGGCTTGTCCCATGATATCGCAACTTCTACCGCCGTTGTAGCGCGATGCCAAGGCCTTTATTTTTTTTCGGAAGCAGCGATTCAACGAAGTTGTCACTGGCCTTTGCCACTTCATCGTCGGTCAATGCCAGATATTCGTCGTTTGGGGTCGTGTCGCCGGTTATAGTCGTGACAGGCTCCTGAGCAGTGTAGGACGCACCGCCCAGAGAGAGCAGACATCGCCAAAGGCGAGATACCACCGCATCTATCCAGCATCGTAGACTTACCAAGAGCCTAAAGGAAGACATTGGTAGTTGCCGCACTTCGCGGGTCTCAGGGATTCAAGTTGTCCACAATGCTTCAATGCATCGCGTCAACGGCTCAGGGTTCTGATAGTAGTTCGAGACTCAATTTCGTGAATCGCGACTGTCAATGTAGGGGATAGATATTTCAGGGCTAGGCAAATCTGGCGCCATTTGTGGAGAATGCAAGGTCGAGGAACCAAAGTCGTTCTGCATCAAACTCCGCAAGTCCATTCATTCTCTTGGGCAAAAAATTTACCGTGCATGCTTTATAATATTGACACTACGCGGGCACCTGTATTTCTTTTTCTTTTTGAAAGAGTGTGGGGAAAGAGGAAACAAAATCTGAACCGAAATATTGGGCTTCCTGGCTAGCACAACGTTTTCACATCATGGTGTTAATGCGAGAACAAGTGTGGGGACATCATGCTAACGCCAGCGTTCAAGCCAGAGTTTAGGCCAATAAACATGGAGTGCTACTCCGTACTAAGTCCAGGTACAGCTGACGAGTCGGTTGTGGCATCTGAAGCCTCCAAATTTCCGGAGTCAGGCTCAAAATTTTCTGTCGGGATACGCAAGCCAGGATGCCCCTGTGGATCAGTTAAATGTGAGTCTGCGGTGATCCTGAGAGACATTGATGTATGTAGATGTTGTGATTGAACGTGCTGCATGGCCATCCAGTGGGATTAAGCGCTGCATGCTCTGTTTATAATCGGGCCGGGGGGGTTAAATGCAGTCACTTTGCTGTGGGCCAAGTGCCGGGCTGCAATATTCCTGTGGTGCGAGTATCGGCAAAAAAGGTCGATTGAGCCTTGTGCATGTGTCAAGAGTACCGGACATAAGATTACGTAGCATCTCATTCGTTTTACTCCGCACAACATCTGCACTGGCTCACCACCATAGCCACCTGGTGAGTTGGAAGCAGGGCCCGGAAGAGAAGCAATAATTGACGCCTGTTATTGGAGTTGGTCTGCCGCCTCAAACTGCTATTTGTGTGTCTTGTCCAAAGAGAAAGGCTCACGCCTATCCATTTCTCCGAACAACCAGCCTGGTGCCTGAGCGTCAAAGTCAATGTCGAGGTAGAAATTTCCTTGATGGCGTCGTGCCACATTGACCTTTCAATGTTTCGGCACTGGGGGCAAGGCAAGTGCAACCCAGGTTGGATTGTGGGGTTGGCAGCACCTGCTAAACGTCTTGTGTGTAACATCAGACGTCAACTGGTACTAGTACGTAGTAACTACAAACGAAGCGTTGTGTGAATCAGCTTCTTTCTCTTGAAGGGAAACACTGCGGATGCATAAAATAGCACCACCGTACCACAGGGTATCTGGGTACTTTTGTGCCGTGGTAGGCAAGTACTACATGCTTATGGCATTCATCGTGTGACACCACCCCTCAGTTGATTTGCATCGCTCTGCCCATTTCGTCCAGAATTGCACCCCTGACTCTTGTTCATCAACTTTCTTCCTCTCGACGGCCCCGGACAAAGGGATGGACAAGTCTGGTCGCCTCAAGGAAACTGCACTGACACTTGGAAAATCTACCGACAAATTGACCACGGCAAGAAATATATACCACCCCGAAAGTACCAATGGCAGCTTTTTGCAAAATAAGACAACAGTCCAAGTAGGGCATTGGTGTATCTATCAAGGAGGTTTGATTGGCAAAACTTTCATCATCCATATCATATGTGCGCGTTGTCCATCTTCCAATCTCGACGATGGAAGCATTAGGCTCCTTTCAACCAATCTCCCTTCGACAGGTGACGCAGCTTTTTTTTTTTCTCTCATAATGGACAAAATACAGAGACTTGTCAGTCAGTTACAACGCGGCATGGAGGCACACGCAGCCCTAGTACTCCGTTCGCGTGAAACGTCTGGTGGCTTGTTGCTCGCCGGCATGGCTTCGTTAGTCTCGACCAATTCAAAGACAGAACCAATGACCGTCAATCGGCTTCGACTACGGAGTACTGGCCTTGATGGAGACAATGTCGGCAGGCGGATCCTTGTGGGGTAGCCGACATCTAGATTCCGGGGTCCGGGGTAAATATTGCCAATCTAGATTCATTGACTAAATCCCCAATCGGGGGATCAAAGTCGTATACAAAGCACTTCAATTTCAAGCAGCATTTAAACGTCGTCAAAGGCTCAGAAATTATCGAATTTGCTCTCCAAACTAAACAATCATTCAAAATCGTTGGCCTCACCAAAACGTGTTTCAACATGGAAATCCTTTATACCCAACCCGTCGAGTCCTCTCTCACATGCGAGCCGTGCCGGGATCCGTCAACATCACCCACATAAGCCGACATAACATTGCACTCGTCGGAACAGTCAAAGCATTGAATCACGCCGTTACCCAAAACTCATACCCAGCTATAGAAGACTTTTTCGCCGAAGACGGCTATTGGTGAGACCACCTCGTTGTACGACCACATGCCGTACCTCGATTTCCCGCTCGATGGTCTCGAAAGCCCGGCTTCAAAGTGGATCATGACCCCGACGGTGCAAGTCGTTTCTTTAAATGCTTCCGACGCGGAGGAGGCTACTATGTTAACATCGGGGCATTGAGTTGATTGCAGAAAGCAAGGCTAGGATGAAGCAAGGACAGGAAATCGACCAGATATTACCACGTCACATTCGGTCTAGTGATGACTCAAAGCTGGAAGCTGACGAGGTTGTGTTTACAACGGGCTATCAGAACATGCAGATACAGACGCGACGTTTGGCGATGACGTGGCAAACAATGTTGGCGATGTGTGAGTATTCAACGAAGAGGGCGAGATGAGGACTGTCTGGCAGAAGAGTGAGCATCTCGCGTTTTGTTTTCGTGAAGGAAATTTGATCGTGCCGGTATTATTCGAGACTTTCAGCATTGCATGCAAATCAAGGGCTTAGAGGAGTTGGTATCAGCTTGGTGACATCTAATCGGAGTTCGTCTTGGCTACATGCCTAGTTATGAGATGGCTACGAAGTATTGTTGTGTTCCTTGAGCCCTCTTTCTGCCTCTCTCTCCTCTAAATATACACTGGCAATTCGTGCGAGGATGTAATACATATGATGTACCAGAAGTGTCGGTCAAATTCATCAAAACAAGAGAATCGTCAAATATTTGCGTCTCATTACCCCGCGCTAAGCCATCAGCATGATGCCGTTGCATTTACACAAATAGCGAAAGGGGCACCCTGGGGTATCCATCATCATGTATCGTTCAAAACATTCCATGTATTCATATCATTCAACCATGAGAAGTCATCCACCGTGAATGTTAAGTCACGGATATCGAGTTCCGGAAATTGTGAAAACGATTGGTCTTGCTGGACTGCGGGTTGTATACCACCGACGTGTGGAACTGATGAATCCATCGGTGACACAGTGGTATCAAAATGGGCCGAGGAATCCATTGTAGAAGCACCACCATTTAGAATCTTCGACGACAAAATTTGAAGCGCTGCAACGCACCGTCGAGCTGATGTATTGACATGTTCGTGGGCCTGTAGCACCTTCATGACTTCGCTCCAAGCCTGATTAATATCTTGCAAGTTCATTATGTCTGTCCGCAACTTAGCAGCAATAAGGACGGTGGCAGCGGAAAAAAGATAATAGACTCGGTACCACCAGGCGGGAAGAAGTCCCACAGTTCCATCGTTGGCCTGGTACTTGAGGAGGAGAGAGATAATACTTCGCGCTATCTCCACACAATATATCGTGCATTGCTGCATTACGCGGGATTGCAGACTGTCTGGTGGTCGAGCAGCGGCGACTCCGAATCCAGGAGGTGGTAAGCAAACACGTGCAACGACAGGGCGGAGAAGAAGCATTCGAGCGTGAAGAAATCTATCACAATTAGTCAGTTGATTGAGGCGTTGTGGATATTCCAGACACGAATTCTGAGTGCATATGTACCGTATGTGCAGGATAACGGCCTGACGATGCGACACCTCATTGTTCGCCACATCAGCGTCGCTCAGTACTAAAAACTTGGGGAGGCTCTCTTCCCATTTCATCATGGCTGAGTCTAATTGCATGACCGCGGCAAGGTCTTCATCTTTCCTGTCATCGTGAATCGTAGAACGAGGCCGCGACCCGGGTTCGGAATATAAATCAAGAAGCACTCGGTGAGTAATTTCGTAGAGCTCTATAGACTTTACAAAAAATGATCCCTCCGTCAGACGCCCATAATCGTTTGGCTTGGCATTGGAGGAAGTCAGTGGGAGCGGAACAG